AATTAATTTTACATTTTCTCCCTTTTACCTCACTTTGCTGCCTTTAATTAACTCCTTTATGCAGAAGGAAAATGGTTAATTCTGCTTTTTAATTTACATTTCCTATGAAGTAATGCAGTCTCAGGCAGGGATGGCTATGGCGGCTGTTCTGTGCATGAGCAAATTTGACTCAATGTCCTGCTGCTGTAGCCTAAAACATTACGTTTAAGCATGTTAATTTCATGTTTTTCTTGTGTGTTGAATTCAATAAAGTCCCTTATATCTGACAAAACCAAAAAATTACAGATTTTCATCAAGACCTACTGTTTTGTGTAGGTAAACTCACACAAAGAATATAATGTTAGATTTTCCTTTTATTGTTATTCAAACATTCAAAGATTTTCCAACATCACAAATAAGTTACTGTGATATGAATTCTGTTGTTAATGTGTGCTTGCAGTTATGTAGAAATGCTGCACTGACTGTAACACCAATGTAGGGATTGTTATAACTATTGTAGATATATGCAGTAGTCTTTATGAAAATACTATTTTTAAATGAACATTATCAGCAGCTCATTCTGTGACCTTCACAGTGAATAGGGTAGTGAAGTGGAGAAGGGCCAGTGCTAAAAGGGTAAGGAGTAGGGGCGAGGCCCCTTGAGGATAGTCAGAGTGGAAAGGGGTAATTGTTGGGCTCAGTATGGAGCTTTTCCTGCTCCCTGAGTGCCAAGGCTAGGGTGCAGGCCCATTGTTGGGCCTTACAATAACCAGGTCACAAAAAGAGCCATGGCCATTTAGGGCCAGGTTTTAAGAACTGGAGCGGAATTCATACTATTAAGTATAAAATCTGTAATCAGATTACTGTTCTTCACATGATAAGTGATGATAAAGTGAGTTCTTTTTTTTAAAAACAGTAGCAACAGAACAGTGTCATAGTTGAGGTTTAACATTTAGTAAACGGTAGTCGATACAGCTCATTGGATGAGACACTCTTGGTATGTTTGTGAAATACCTTTCCACCCAAGCTTCCATTAATGATTAAAGCCAAAGAGTGCCTCTGTTGTTCGTGAGAGGAAAGCTGTTATATATTGGTATTAAAGTTTTACCTCTCATTAGAAGAAAGAGTTTTACTTCCTCATTTGGCCTAATGTGCTGAAATTACAATATGCAGGTCAAGGTCACATTCAGGTCAAGTCACTCTCATTTGTATTATGCCTGTAAAAAATATTCTGTTATTTCCATAGATACATTTATTTGTGTTGGCAATTAGGCAGCATGAGACTAAGCCAAAGGCTGACTCAACAGTTAAACGCTTTTGAGAAGAGTGGTTTGTATATTGAATGAATATTGTCAGCCCTACACGTTCCCCTGATGTGTTCTTTTAATGGATATTTTAATGTTTAATGTGTTAATGTACACAGACCATGAATCGGCCTTTTCCTGTGTAACTGATCATTTTCTGTGAAATGCAGTGAAATTTAGAATTTGTTCGGTAGGCTAGGCTGTGGTTACTGTCTTGTGTGGTTTAATAACTGCTGTGAAATGTAGCTTTTGTCTTGTAAATTCTGTGAAATCTGTGATTTTTTTTGAGAAAGTACATCCATGAAATTAAGCTTTTTAGCATTTGGCATGGCTCTGATGTATCAATCACTGCGACTTACATGGCTTTTTCATGCTTTTGGCCTGAAACCATTACAGCAGTCTGACAATCTTAAAGGCAGACTGGCAAAAATAACAAAGTATACAAAACATTAGCAGACTTTGAAACTAAGTTACTTTGCTAATATTTTGCATACTTCGAATTTATGCGTCTTTTATATAGCCGCTATCTAATGAGTTTAAATGGTGGTTACTTTAAAAAAGCTTCAGTAGAGTTCAGTAGCTGTGATATTCAGCTATTTTATCATAACAGTCAGACACATGGTTCATTAGTACTTTTTCATATGGTGTATTTATACACTAATCACGTTTCTTTGTACATGCACTATATTTGTTGCTTATGAATGATGTGATGTCTACTAGCAGTATTACTGTCACAACAATACTGATTTTTAGTTTTAACAGTACTGATTGATAATGAACATTATATCCCTGATAATGTTCTATTACATAACACAGCGGGTTCCTGTTGCTAAGGTTCTCAATGAGTTGCATTGATTGTAATGTAAAAATAAATAGCACTGGGCATGGATAGAAGAAAAAGCTATAGATAGGCAACCACCCAGTAGTATCATAGAAATTAGGTGCATTTTAGCTTCTTCCTTTGAAGAGGTAAGGAAGAAAAACAAAGATGCGAGGACAGACTCCAAATGAATTCACCAGGTGACATGTCACTCAGCCCTGGGGTGTGTACTAAAGTATAAAGATATCTAATATCGAAGTTATTGCTTTTGTGATTATAAACATCTATTCCTCCTATGAAAGAGGAAACATTCCCTTTCGGATCTGCCATACATTAAGGACCCTTTCAGTAAATGGAGAGGATGATGTGGCAGGCTGTTAATAACCACATCATAATCTTTTGTTTTCAGGGGAATTTTCATTCTACCCATCAAATCTTAAGAAGAATAAAAAGAATAAATAACTCCCTAATCATTCATGAGATGCTCACAAATATTAGACCCATATCTACCCATAGTGCATATACTTTTACCCCATTGAAGAATATCTTGATTATTCCAAATAATACAGGGTGTGAAAAGAAATTATGTTTAAAAGCTGGCTTCCATGTCTATAAGTCTTGATTGTGAAAATTTGACAGACACATTAACCACTGTTAAAGACAAAATTGGACATGTAGACCTATTAAAAATTGCTATTTTTTAATATTGCTTGAGCCAGGTTATTTTAAAAACGAATGAAGTCCAAAACATAAAATCCACCTTGTGAGGATTTCCTTATAAAAGTTTTCCTTTTAATATATTTGACTTTAGTTCACCAGATGAATTTAAATATAATAGAGCTAAATGTACCTTGAGGTTTTTTTTTTTGCAACATACAGTGATAAAGCTGGGTACAGTAATCTAGTAAATCCCTATGCTTTAGGAAGCAAGATTAGGCCATAAAAAGAGAGGTCACATATCCAGGAGTTAAACACAGATTTAACCTTCTGAATTTGGTGCGACACTTTTTTCGGCTTATCCAGTCAGAAACTGATTTGCACACATGGATTCCCAAGAATTTAACTAACTTCTTTTAATTGCAATGCCACAAAAAGAAGGAGAGAATTCAGAATCATGTATCATTAAAATATTACTCTTTTTTGGATTTATAACAAAAATAACTGGAGATCTTATAAAACAATGGAGACTTAAGCACTATTCTTCAAAAATAAACAAGTGCCATCTGCCAACTGACTAATAAAAACACTGTTATCACCAGTCTTTATTCCTTCTACATCAGAACACACACACGCTTTATCAAAGCCACTTATCCTTCTGGGTTGCAGGGGCTGCTGGAGCCTATCCTAGTGGATAGGTTGCCAGTCCATTGAAGGGCAGACACACAGACAATTGCATCAGAACAGTAAGTCAAAAATAAAATTAGAAGTTAGCAGCTATTACAATTTTTTAATGCAAAACCTTGGCAAATATCTACCCGTGAAGTAGAACACCAATATCTATGCTGAAACTTAGAACAATGAGTGACTCTTAATATAACAAAAACATTTAATGCTCAGCTTGACACTGACTGCCGATGAAAACTATTTAATAATATATTAAAACTTATATAGTCAAACCGTTCATTTTCAATCCGAAATTGCATTGTCCAGTTACTTTAAACAAACATTACTTTAGAGCGGGGAGAACTAGCCTTTACTATTGTCCCTCTCAGTGTTTGTGACCATGATTCTCTTACCATCAGTGAAAGCATGTGTGCCTTTAAACCCAGCTTTCTTGCTTTCTGCCCTAGCCTTTTCCACTCTAGTTTGCTCATAGTTTGCTCCTTGCCTCCTTCACGTGCTGAGATAGATCTTCCACAATTTTAATTTTGTCCCTTGCTAAGACAGCGGTGTTCCTTGCATCTCTCCACTTCTTTTCACAGTGCGTTCAGGAGACAAACTTAATGATGACACTTTTGACAATTTAAACATGGACTAAGCCTGTGCACAATGTCAGTATCATTTCATAGGGATTTAGCTATGTGAGGAGATATCTGTTGCATCAAGTTGACCACTTTTCTCTTTACATTTTCGTCATCATGTTCATTCGGTCCGACATACAAAATAATTATACAAAATAAACAACACTATTGAGTCTCTCCCACAAATCAGTTATCTTTTCTTAAGCTTCATCACCTGCCGCTCCATAACTGGCACTTTGGATTTCATTTCTCCATTTCCTTTCCAGTGAATTCCAAAGATGAAACGATGTGTGTGGATTGACACGAGTTTTCTCTAACCACATTTTCCATGTACTGCAACTCATAGAAGTCTGCCTGCTTTTCTCTGATTTTCTCTATGGCTGCATAAAGCATCAAATTTAACACATCCAGTCTCTGGATGTAGTTCTTTTCTATGTGCCATCTTGGGCATTGGGCTTTTGATGGGAGTTTCCACAGTATCCACAGTTTCAATTCTTCACCTCAAAGTAAAAACACAAGGTAGAAATTATCCACTTCTCAGTGACTTTTGTGAAATCCCTAATTTGACAACCTACTCCATCTTGGCTGCCCATAAAAAAACACTGACCAATTTTATTAATCGGATGGATATTTAACTTGGATATTTATTTGGAGATTCAATATACTGCTTTGTTTTGATGTGTTTAAGTTCTGTTGTTGAGTATGCTGTAATTCCAAAAATTATCTGAATTTTGGGCTGCAGATTTCTTTTGACTGGTGTTTTTAAAAGGTAGAATGATTTGTACTAAAGGATTAGGAACCATGCATCTATGTACCTGGTACAGCTTTGGTAATATTTGTTTACAAGGTTCACGATTCTTTGTTGTTCTGGATGAACTGTTTATGCTATTATTTTTATTGAGCTCTCTCAATCGAATTGTTTTGTCTCACTTGCAGAGCTTCAGTACAACTGTACCACAATCCACAGTTAGCACTTCTGCAGGACAGACTTCTTCAGGAACATCATCCACAAACAGTCCTGCTGCATCAACTCAAGGGAATATTATAAGTAAGTGCTGTAGTGTAGTCATTCTGTATTCATATATGCATTACTTATCACTATATTTCAATTGAGAATGCGTGAAACAAAAAGTCTCTGCTGTTTTGCCAGATTTTCCTTTCAAAACAGGGGTGCGATTTAATAGGTCTTCTGAATGTTAACATTATATTGAAAGTTTTATTTCATTAAATGAAACAACAATAACAACAACAACAACAATATAGTTATTATTGTTATTATTATTATTTTTATTAGTATTAATACTACTACTACTACTACTACTACTAATACTACTACTACTACTACTACTAATAATAATAATAATAATAATAATTATTATTATTATATAATAAATAGTTATTTATGATCATTTGATAATGATAATGTTTAACAGAATAAACTATGAGTATTAATTTAAAATCATGTAAGACAATGACACAGGTCAAATTAAAAAGATAAATACCAAGGAGACGTAGAATTTTAATGAAACTCTTAATTAAAGGGAAACACTTTCAAATATTTCTTCGCAGTATATCTTTTTGTCTTAGGATCTGACAGGTCAAGATAAGATTTTTCGCAAATTTGTATTACAGAAGAAAATCTTAATTTAGGAATCTTATCTTACAGCATCTTATATCAATTCACTGCTCAATCGAAGTCGACAATGAACTGTTATGTCTGTTACCAAGCAACCGACGATATATGCACAACTGAATCGTAAACATGTCAAGTATGTTAAAATGTTTGCTACAGCTACTGTTACTAATGTAAAAAAAGGTCAAAACAAAACTAAAGTGCAATAAACTGGAGATTACAAATACTGTGAGTTAGGAATGGGTATCAAGAACTGGTACTAAATTGATATCGGTTCCTGACTGGTCAGTACTGAAATAAGCTCCTGGGAAAACTGTGCTGCTGTTGGTATTTATAGTAATGTTAATTCATCCTGCATAGCAGCCATTTTCAGATGGTGGTGCTAGATTGTATCAGCAGGAGGGGTGCTTCTCAGTGTGTGACAAAAGCGTTTGCATGCCTCTGACCACTTTAGATCATTTCGAATGCTTATCTTTATTCTGTGCTCTCCAGTCGTGGCTGACAGATATTCAAACTTATAGGCTCACTTTACTAAATTTAATGATAATGCAGCTAAATACAATATATGTAAAACTGTAGTTGCATGCAAAGGCAAAAAAGCTTCCTATCTGCCAGCTTCTTGTTAAGATTTTCCTGTTTCACCTGGTGCAGCAGTCACATGCTGGCACCTGAGGCATTGTAATAATAACTGGTGCACCATTTAAGGTGGAACGGGAATGGAGGAAGGAGTAATAATAAGCTGAGTCTGTACTAAATTAATATTAGATAGCTAGCAGAGCATAAATTGCTAACTGCTAGGCAGTCTAAGCTTGAACTTGGTCTGAGCTGTCCTGACAGCCAGGGGTAACTAATTTTATATTGCTTATTAGGGGTGCGGGGATTCTTAAATGCATCGCGATGCAGATGTGAACGATTCTGAATCGATTCACAAATGTCAAAAATCGATTTTCTAAATATTTAATTTATAACGGAATGTTGACGGAACGCAAAAGGCGGAACTTGGAAGTGCGGAAATGCAGCGCCCGGACACTCTGCAGCGGCACATAACAAAAACACAAGTGGAAGAGTGAGAAATCCGACCGGCTCCCTCTGCGTTAAAAGCCAGGTTAGGTCAGGAGTCACAACCCAAATGATAAGAAGAGCCGTTTTGTCATTTCAACAAAAATCAAACCACCTCAGAAGTAGATCAGTTTCTTGTGACACAGCGATCCCCCCCGTCTCTACAACGAGACCAAAACCGCAAAACCGAAGTTATAAAATCACTAAAGAAAACGGGTAGAATAGCTGTAACGTGCTGCGTGGACATCCACTGCCTCTGGATCTTATTTCACCATAACTGCGCATTTTATCGCAGATCAGTAGCAGCAGCTTCTCGTGCTCCAAACAAGAGCACTGAATGAAAGCCTTCTAGTTCACTTGCCACATCACTTCCATTTGTTTTATTAAAAAAGATATTGGAAGTAAATTCATTATGGATCATTACAAATACTTTGCTTTAAAAGTACCAAGTCACTTTAAATAACAATAACACAGTCACTTAGTCACTTTAAAATGTATATTGTCTCTATATTCTGTGTATATTTTGTGTATATTTAATATATTTCAGTTGTTTTTTCTTGTATTTTTATTTTTACTTTCTGTAGAGTGATTATCTGAGCCTCACCACAAGCATTTCAGTGCATAAATGTCCTGACATGTTGTGCAAATGACAAATAAACTTGAAACTTGAACTCGAAACTTGAGCTCACACAGTGAGAAAATAGAAATGCTATATAGAAAAAAAAGATGCATCGAGATGCATCGATAATCGTTTTATAATCGCATCGCAGCCCTCTGAATCATAATCGAATCGAATCGTGAGGTGCCTAAAGATTCCCACCCCTATTGTTTATAGTTGGTAATATTTGATGATGACCACAGCATTTTCACAGCTTTTCATTTTGAATGTTTTCACATCTTTTCATGTCTTGTTTTTAGCACCAAATTATGGAGAGTAGTATTGATAATAGTATTGATAAGTATCGATATCAGTATTGATAAAATCCTAACAATACCCATCTCTACTGTTAGTGTTCTCTATGCTGTTTATCAGGGTGTCGCCGCTCCACAGTTTCAATTATTTTCATTTCCCAAACACTTTAGCCAGCCTGTGAGCCACACTAAATAAACAGCCACAAGTTTGACTCATCACCGTCGCTGCAATATTTTATATGATGAGTTTTCAAAAAAAAATTTTTTTTAAATGCAGAGTTAGAAAGGAAAAACATCTCACAATTGAAACCACCGTTTTTCAGTATAAATAAATGTTATTATGCTAATACTGTGTTGCCTGTAACAGCTGCCTAAAACCAATAGAAACAGACGGTTAAAACATAGGTTAGGACACCACTAGGATTTTCTTAAAGGCAGAATAGAATTTAGGAAATTTGTTCTAGTTAGGATGATTTTGTAATGCTGTTTTCTTATCTGGAGTTAGATTAAGATTATGAACTGTTGTTTTGTAATAGCTACTGTCCTAAGTTCCTAAATTCCAGTCCTAACTGAAGTTGTCATTGTGACTAAACAGAGAAGATAAGATTTAGGATCAGAGACAGAGTTAGGATGTTTCAGTAATATGACTCCTGGTTGTTTGTCTTGTGTTTTTTCGCTGTTTTGGTTTCTCTGTTTTTGTTCTGTGTTATTTCTGACTGTGTTGTCTTCTTTCTGCTTTAATATTTTGATCAGTGGATTTCTTTATTTTTTTAATTACCTTTGTGGATCCTGTTTTGTCATGGACTTATAAAATTAAGAACTTGTATTCTGTCTCTCTGTCTTCCACAATGTTACACACATGTTGGAACATAAACAGACAGACATTCTGTGATGTAAGCAGTGCTTTAAGGTCATTCAGAGCCTTAAAAACTAGTAGCTTAAGTTTAAAATACATCCTAAAAGATAGAGGTAGCCAGTGCCTTTCTTTTAAAATGGGGGTGATATGAGCTCTCTTGCTTGTTTTTGTTAGAACTCATGCTGCTGCATTTTGTATGAGTTGTAAGGGATGTACTGTTTTCTTAGGAAGTCCAGTAAGAAGAGCATTACAGTAATCAGCTCTGCTTGCAACAAATGCAAGAACAACTTTCTGTGCATCGCTCTGAGATAGAAAAGGCTGAATGTTAGCAAGATTTCTCAAATGACTGAGGCCTTATCCACTGAGAAATATCTGGCACACAATATCTAAGCCTGTCAACAGAGTCTTGAGTTTCAGAAGGAATGGAAATGTATAATTGTGTGACTTAACATAGCTATAAGAAATGTATATCATGTTTCCTAATGACATCACCTATAGATAACAATGATTTCTCAGTGAAACCAAGAACTGTCTACTAATTAAATATGATTTAGATTATTCTAAAACTGTGCCTGAGCATCCTACCAACTGCTCAAGACAGTGGATTACAATCTTGTGATCTAAACCTGCACAAAGATCTGATAAGAACAAACTAGAAGGATTTTGTGCATCATTGCTAAGCCTGGGTCATCGACTACACAAACCAATCACAGTACTGTGGTTTGAACGAAAACCTGACTGAAGTTTCTCAGATCACTTGTTTGATATTAGGTATGTGTTTAATTGTTTGAAAAACTTTGTCTATAACTTTACTTAAAAAAAGGAAAGTTAGGTCAGTGAAGCCGTTTAAAGTAGAGGCTTCACCAGGGCAGTTTTATGAGGAGACAGAAAACAGTTTACAATATTTAAGACATCATTTTTAACACAGTCAAAAACTCTTAAAATCTTAGGACTGAAGTAGGAACAGGGTCAAGATCACATGTGGACGAAGGTCATTTGTTTACAACAGTTGTATCCTCAACAGCTACACAGAATGTGATGAACGGTACTGTTCTGTCATCCCCAGCCACTTCTGCAAGAGAGGAAACGTCATCATCCACAGACAGTCCTACAACTTCTGTCACAATAGAAAAAACATCAACTCAAGGCTCAGGGAATACAAGTAAGTCCTGTAATGTAATCATTGTGTAATATTTTTCATTTGTTATCAAAGGAGACCACATAAACAAACCTGCATTTTCTATGGCATTTCACATATGCATTATTTGTCACGGTATATTTTATTTGAGAAATCGTGAAATGAGAAGTCACTGCTGTTTTGGCATATTTCCTTTCAAAAAGGGGGGTGATTTAATAGGCTGTTGGGATTTTCCTCCCTTTTTACATCATTACTCCAAAAAACGCCAGAGTAGATCACGTGTCTTGAAATTTACACAGAGAAAGGCCCCAGGTTTGATACTTCAAGTTTGGTATGTGAAGCTAAAGAACATAGCTTCTCATAAAATATTTTTCTCTGAATTTTAGTACAAAGGATCAATATTTCAGTTTTTTCTTCATGTAGTTGTAGAAAATTTTGTGACATCCACTGAGAACTATCTGAGACACATCAGGTAAGCCTGTCAACAGAGGCTTGGTCATCAGAAGGAATAGAAATGTATAATTGCTTGTCATCAGCATACATACATCAACATACAAAAAGAGAAAAGCAAAGGCCCTAAAACTGAACCTTGTAGGACTCACAAGAAATGTTAATTTTTTTTGATTAATGATTTTCCAGTGAAACCAAGAACTGTCTACTAATTAAATATGATTTAAATTATTCTAAAACTGTGCCTGAGCATCCTACCAACTGCTCAAGACAGTGGATTACAATCTTGTGATCTAAACCTGCACAAAGATCTGATAAGAACAAACTAGAAGGATTTTGTGCATCATTGCTAAGCCTGGGTCATCGACTACACAAACCAATCACAGTACTGTGGTTTGAACGAAAACCTGACTGAAGTTTCTCAGATCACTTGTTTGATATTAGGTATGTGTTTAATTGTTTGAAAAACTTTTTCTATAACTTTACTTAAAAAAAGGAAAGTTAGGTCAGTGAAGCCTTTTAAAGTAGAGGCTTCACCAGGGCAGTTTTATGAGGAGACAGAAAACAGTTTACAATATTTAAGACATCATTTTTAACACAGTCAAAAACTCTTAAAATCTTAGGACTGAAGTAGGAACAGGGTCAAGATCACATGTGGACGAAGGTCATTTGTTTATAACAGTTGTATCCTCAACAGCTACGCAGAATGTGATGAACGGTACTGTTCTGTCATCCCCAGCCACTTCTGCAAGAGAGGAAACGTCATCATCCACAGACAGTCCTACAACTTCTGTCACAATAGAAAAAACATCAACTCAAGGCTCAGGGAATACAAGTAAGTCCTGTAATGTAATCATTGTGTAATATTTTTCATTTGTTATCAAAGGAGACCACATAAACAAACCTGCATTTTCTATGGCATTTCACATATGCATTATTTGTCACGGTATATTTTATTTGAGAAATCGTGAAATGAGAAGTCACTGCTGTTTTGGCATATTTCTTTTCAAAAAGGGGTGTGATTTAATAGGCTGTTGGGATTTTCCTCCCTTTTTACATCATTACGTTTTTACGTAATAGCCACACTCACCAACCCAGCCTTCATAACGTCGCCGTGTCCTCTGCTGTTTCCATCATGATTTCACAGCGAACTAAGCTAAGTCAGTAACACAGCATCGTCAATAAAGCACCATACACCAACAAAGTGAAACAGGGCTATGAACATAAACCCTTACCCTTTGGAAACATTCTGCTGCATCCTGGTGAGGGGTTGGCCCTCTGCAGCAATCTGTTTGTGTTCTCTGACTCCAGTTCAATGATATAACGCTACTGCATGCCAGATGTGTCACACAATGTACAAAAATTATAAACGTTATGGTATGCACTCTGTGTCTATATATGCCAATACTTTGTGACTGACTCCAAAAAAAGCCAGAGTAGATCACGTGTCTTGAAATTTACACAGAGAAAGGCCCCAGGTTTGATACTTCAAGTTTGGTATGTGAAGCTAAAGAACATAGCTTCTCATAAAATATTTTTCTCTGAATTTTAGTACAAAGGATCAATATTTCAGTTTTTTCTTCATGTAGTTGTAGAAAATTTTGTGACATCCACTGAGAAATATCTGAGACACATCAGGTAAGCCTGTCAACAGAGGCTTGGTCATCAGAAGGAATGGAAATGTATAATTGCTTGTCATCAGCATACATACATCAACATACAAAAAGAGAAAAGCAAAGGCCCTAAAACTGAACCTTGTAGGACTCACAAGAAATGTTTTTTTTTTTTTTATTAATGACTTTCCAGTGAAACCAAGAACTATCTATTCATTAAATATGATTTAAACCACTCTAAAACTGCCTGAGAGGCAAAACCAGTATTTAAGATGATGGATTAGATCTAGTGATCAATGGTATCGAAAGCTGCACTTAGATCCCAGAAGACCAAAATAGAAGGAATTTGTGCATCATTGCTAAGCCGATCATTGGCAACACAAACTTATGCTGTCTCAGTACTGAACTACTGACTTAAAGTGTCCCTGCACTCCTGACAGATGTATTTCAAAGTGCACAGGGAAGTTTATTAAACTGAGAAAAAAAAAAAAATATGTGTCCTTTAATACTTTTGAAAACAAATGGGCATCTTATGTTTCTCATTTGGCTTTTTAAAGCTCCAGCGAAGAATAGCAGTAACTGGCAGAACAGATTTTGGTGTAACACCATGTAGTGCAGAAGGATCAATTTACAGTGTTATAGCAGAGAACCATCATTAGAAACAAAAACAGGCAAACTGTGTGGAAAAAAAAAAAAACAATCAAATCTGTTACAATTAAGACTCATGTTGCATCTAATATTATACTTCTAATGGTGGTTTGCAGTTTTTACACTGCTTAGTGTGGTAGTATGCAACTTAAAACTTTTCCGCTTCCTGCTCTTCTTGCTGCAGCCTCAAAAAGCTCAACAGCCCCATCTACTGTCAGACAAAGGTTAATTTTTCTAGTATTTGGAAGCCTTCCGGTAATGCAGATGATGTAGAACCACTTTTTAAATGGATTTCAACTGCAGCTTCTGTCAGATCACATGTTCACATGCTTAAACACGTGTGTTACTGCATGTTTGAAAATTAAAATTCAGAATTTAACATTGTCAAACCATCTGGTTTCTGCAATATAAAGTTAAAAGGACTTACTAGGCTGTGTACAATCCCAAGCTTATTACATTATTACATTATTACTAAGACATATTTTCCTAAATGGACTACAGTGCAGACTATCAGAGTTATTGTCTAAAGACCCTGCATCAGTTAGAAGATGGGAATGAATCATGGAAATAGGCCAAAGCCTATCATTTGCAAACCAAACGTAAGGAAAACTCACTGATCATAATCAGAAATATTCTTTAGTTTCATTATCTAATGAGAACCCCACCCTCGATTGGGAGCCACCTTTTCTTTCCAGTGCAGCTCATATTTTCCTCAATGAGTGTGTCGTAAACGCTGCCAAGCAATATATTCAGATACTGATGGACACTGTAGTTGATAAGTCTCAGGTCTATATGGACTGCCTTACCCTACAGACAGACACAGGCAGGTGCAAATTAAAGGAAAACACAACATAAAGTTTCTTAGAAAGGTGTTGGGCCACCACGAACCAACAGAACAGCTTCAGTGTACCTTGGCATGGATTTTACAAATGCCTGGAACAATACTGGAAGGATGAAACAGCATTCTTCCTCCAACTACTGTTTAGATGATGATGGTGGAGAGCACTGTCTTAACATGTTGGTCTAAAATCTCCCATAGGAGTTCAGCTGGGTTGAGATCGGGTGACTGCGGTGGTCATATAGCATACGATTTACTTGTTTTTCATACTCATCAAACCATTCAGTGACTCCATGTACCCTGTGGAGGGGAGCATTGTTATTCTGGATAAGACCACTCCCATCAGGATAGACAAGTTTTTTCACAAAGGTGACCAGTCAAAACAACTTTGTATTGATGCACAGTGAGCCTTCCCTGTAAGGGGGGGGGATAGACACAAATCATGCCAGCAAAATGCCCCGGACAACCCCACCCCCCATTATTATTGTTATGATCAATAATTGCCTACACAATATTTCATTTTTCTGAAATTTAAAAAGTTGGAACAGTGAAGATACAATCTGTCTGTACTGATAAAATATGGTCATATTTCCCACCCCTAACTGTGTATGCCACACGTGCACTCGCCTGCTTGTGGAGAATATGGTGAAAGGTGACTTATCAGACTATGTCATTTTTCCAGATCTCTGTAGACCAGTGCTTGTGGTTTTATACCATGTTCGTCTATGTAATGAGGGGTTTATGCACTGCAACCCTACTGCATAGCTGATGTCTTTTTTATAGATCAAAATGCAGATGTCACTTCAGTTGCTGTCCCAGTTTAAGTCTTTGTGACTGAAGCTCCTGTTGTCCGTGCCCCAAAAATCACATTATTTTTACCCTCATTTTCATTTGGGTATGATCTTATACCTGGAAGCATGTGCACTCATTATGCTTTTCATTTATTCATTATTACTTTTTTAATTTATTCAGATTTTCCTTTAATTTGTCATCTTTCTGTGGATGAATAAAATACATACGTCTATCATCAGCCTTTGACTGAGCCTCTAAGCTGGGAAAGGCTGCTTTATTCAACTCACATCTATGGGCTGCCAGTAAACTGTTTCTGCTGTTATGAGATGGTGTTTGAATGTGTAATATTTCTCATATTTCTCATAAGAATGCGCAGTATTTCTCATAAGACTTCTGCAAATTCTGCATATTATTAACACATGGCCTTATTTTGTGGAACTTGCTTCTTACAGATCTAAATATCATCAATCTCAGGGTTACTGACAGAAACACATCATCTGTGTCTCTAGCTTGGAATTTACTACAAGCAAACTCCGATACTGGCACACAGACTAATGGAATTGTGTCTACCAGTGCTACCACTACAGTCAATAATCTGACTGATGGAGGGAACCACACCTCCACTGTTACTGCAGTTACTGCAGATGGATCAACTACAGGACTGCCTGTTCAGACCTCAGCAGTCACAAGTAAGTCCTGTAGTACAGGTAATGTCAATCTAACGTGCCTATATGTTTTTACTTGAAAGTGTAGGTAAGAAAGATTTTGTCCATATTTGGCGTTAAACTAATTGTTGCTTTAGCTAATGAGGTTTTTCATGTTAGACATGACATTTTTATCAGCAAGATAATCACAGTTTTTGAAAAAAACACCTGTGTTTTGTTAAAACAATGTGTACGTGTTGCAGTCGTGATTTGTCTGCTTACAAATCCAAATGTTGTTCCCATTTTCACAGACTCTGAAAAAACCAAATCTTTGCAACCTGGGTATTATAAAGTAGAGTGGACTAATGAAACTGTGTCTACCACTGCTAACACTTCAAACATGTCCTACACAGTCACTAGTCTGACTGCTGGAATGAACTACACTTTCATTGTCACTGCAGTTGCTGCAGATGGAGTAACTGTAGGAGCACCAGCTCAGACCTCAGCATTCACAAGTAAGTCCTGTAGTACAGGTAATGTAATGTAGTTTGCATCATGCTGTACGTCTTGACAAGATAGTCACAGTGTGATAGATGCATAGCAGCCTGCCAGATCCTAGCCAAGGCAGTGACTGCACATTTCAGATAAATTAGCCAAAGTTATGTTTCATTTACATACATTTTTCTATTGAACACTGGAAAATAGTTTTTTCTGACTATATGCACCAGCTCAATTTTCAGCATTCAAAATTTAGTCCTATAATACAGGTCATATCAATCTACACTGCAAGCTGGAATTAGCCAGAAACAAAAAGAATACAATCCAGCAAATGAGATGAGCTGTGAAATATTTTAGTGACTGGAATAAAGTTGTTAATTTAGCAAGTACCTGATGTTGGCACAACTTTATGGCTTTATCTGTAGACTAACAGTGCCGAAAAGTAAGACGCTCGTTGGACATTCTCTTGTCAATTTCTCATGAAATAAATGTCAAAAAATGATCAAACCTATATTTCCTAGTCCCGGGAAGCTAAAAGCTACAGGCAAATGTATTTTAAAAATGCCTGTTGTTGAAACGCAGGATCACTGTCACTTTAGTCATTAATAGACCATCTGAAAGTGGATGACGTGGACACCTTTGTATTTTACTGCTACTACTACACCTCACGTATTTAGCTAAAGAAAGACAAAATCACATCATTTGTAGTACAGTGTAGTTTGTAGTTTATTTCACGAGAAATCGAGGAGAGAAAGTTAAATATCCAGTAAATGTCCAATATAAAACCAATTATACCACACTATCTGTAATGCAGAGCTACTTTTTTCACAGCAGGATCTGCAAGTATTAGAGAATATTTGATATTATGTTCAGTGCTTCTTTATTTTTTTATTTAAATTTGCCAAACTGTTGTATAAAAGCAATAGAACACTCGAGGTCGTGTGCTATCACTGTCTACCTGCGACTGAATCACAGCCATGATATTATTAATGATCACACACTTCTATTTCTTAAACATTAGTTTATTCTTACGTTAGCATTTGTTCTGAGAAAATAAATGCTTACGGTCCAGAAAAATAACTTTTCAAATGAATTTTCTCAGATGCCTAAAGCTTTTGTACGGTACTGTACGCAAAAAGATGTACGCTTGGCTTTGAGAGCTGTACATCTTTTTGGTTAACTGCTGGTTGCATAGTTGGCTATCTAGCTTGCATGGTCTTTGAACAGGAAATGGCTCCTCTGACATCTCAGCCAATTTTTTTTTTTTGCCTCCATTTTTAACACTTTTCAGTTCCCTCTGGGCCAGATGTTCATACAAGTGCAGCCATAGCACAGAATGTGACTTGATATGTAATATGGGCCCACAATGGCCTGCTTATCACACAATCGTGCAAACTACACCCCTGAGGCACAGAGTTGAAAAGGTGCTGTGAAATATTTTGAGCGGTCAACAAATTTGAAACAAAAAAACACTGAAAGTTCAGTTATCAAGAGATACCAAAGTTAATACGTAAAATTAGATCTCACCAAAATGTTCCACAAGAGTGAAATTCTACTCCAGCTACAACAATAGAGTTTGACTGCACACGCACACTGTGGCTGCATTATGGGTTGTTCACTAAGAAATCACAGCCAAAGAACTCGTTGCAAAACACATTTATAACTTTTTGCCCGCAAAAGGTCAGTCACTCCAGTATTGTTTGATTTTAACTGAATTTTTGTAGCTGCTACAAGCCAAACAGACATTTTAGAGACGTTTTAGAATTGTACAATTGTGCTATATTTAAAATGTGAATTACTTAAAAAAATTATCAATAGACTATTTAGGCCCTAAGATTTTTAGTCAATAATTAAATGGTCTATTTTCTATTCACTGGTTTATGATGAATTTTTCAGAAAAGGTGGAACTACTAACAAACATCTCCATTTTGTAGTGATGTTTTAGAGATGTGCAGGAAGCTTATAAAAACGTCATTAACCTTGCTGAGATATCAAACAATTTGCCAAAAACTAAAATGCAAATTCGTTTCTCTGCGAATTGCAAGCTGGTTTCTCCTTTAGTTCCTAATCAAAACAAATATTTTGACCTGCAAGGGGAAATCTTAACATATTGCTTTAGTAAAACAATTATTTGATCCAAAGATTTTAAATAATGTTATTTCACCCCTTAATGGATTGTTTGACTTCAAAATAACAGGGAATTGTTTCATTTATTTACAATACATTACTTGCTTATTCAACTCATAAGCTCCCAGTTACTATCATATGGGATAAAAACTGTCTCAATGCCAACTAACCTGGAAGTGAATTTGGGAATGTATCCCTTATATTAGTAAAAATCTAGCACACTGGTTAATTCACTATAAACTTACCTACGAAGCCTGTGCCGCCCCTTCTATTTCATATAAGATGAAGCATCTGTCCAGTCCTCTCTGTTGGAATTACAGTGCCAAAGCAGTAGGTGCATGTATGCACATGTTTTATAGTTGTGAACCAGTTGCTAAACTATGGGACATGTAGTGTCAATTTTAAGTATCAAGACTTCTGGAAAACTTTTTGGAAAAAAGTATTTCCAGGCGATGCTTTTTAGATTTTTCAATGGCTGAGTTGGATTGCGAACCCTCTGCAATCATTACCACACGGTTGTTATTGAATAAGTTGCTTGGTTTAGCTTGACATATATTTAATTTTCGAACAATGAAAGTGATGTGTGACTCCTGTCCGTCATGCAGTGGATTCAGTGCAGTGGCCCAGGTCCACGCAAGAACTTGCGAGTCACTAAGCTCTTTAGTTTGACTCTTTCTACTGCCTTTGTTCTATGGAAATTGCATGGCTATGTGCTTGGTTTTATTAGCTGAAACACCTGAACTCAATAATTAGAAGGGGTGACCATATACTCTGGCCATATATATTGCCAAAATATCTATTTCTTAAGTGGAAAGCTTTGAAGATGCAATGAATAAATAAACTTGTCATACATTTGCTTCCAGAGCCAGATGTCGTCACTAATCTCAATGTCTCTAGTAGAAGCACATCATCTGTGTCTCTAACCTGGAATCCACCACAAGGAATGAACTCTTACACAGTAGAGTGGACTGATGTAAATGGTTCTAACAAAGTTAACGTTTCAAACACGACTTACACAGTCACTAATCTGACTGCTGGAGGGAAGTATACATTCATTGTCACTGCAGTTGCTGCAGATGGAGTAACTGCAGGAGCACCAACTCAGATCTCAGCATTCACAAGTAAGTCCTGCACTGCAGGTTACCATCTTCTACAATTTTAAATGTTTTAAATCTGAAAATACATTTATGATGTATTTTCTTCTTTTGGGGCATGGAAAACAAATGTATACTAAATTGCAGTGCAGGTTTTTAGGGAAAGACCTATCTTATGGCTTATGGCATATACCTAAGGTCACAAGGCTTCAGCATGTGTCTGTTTACAGATCCAGATGTTGTCACCAATCTCAACATCTCTGACACAAGCACATCATCTGTATCTCTAACCTGGGATCCACCACAAGGAAATAGTTCCTCTTATAGAATAAAATGGGCTAATGGCAGTGTTAACGTTTCAAACACATCTTACACAGTCACTAGTCTGACTGCTGGTGTGAACTACACGTTCAGTGTCACCACAGTTGCTGCAGATGGAATAACTTCAGGAGCATCAGTTCAGACCTCAGCATTCACAAGTAAGTCCTTTAATACAGGTAATGTCATGTCACAGTGCTTCACGGGAAAAGTGAACAGATTTTTTATTTTCAGTTTTGTTTTTATGTTTTTTTTTTATTTTGTTTGTTTAAAACAAGAAAATCTAAAATGTATTTATTAATAAAGTCTTTACTTTCCAAGCTACTTTTGTCTTGTTTGAATAAATATGTCAGATTAACTTCATCAGCTGTTCATAGTAGCTGTGCCTCCATTGTGCTTGTCTTTGGTAGGGACCACATAGCTGGCCACATGGTGTGCATGATATCTGAACAGCTACTGTAAACCTCATGTCTTTTTTGTTTTTGTTTTTCTTCAGTTGGATTTTTTTTGTTCATGTCTGAGCTAAGGCCTGGTAACCATGACACGGTTTCAGTACTTATTTATTGGGAACTGACCGACATATTTCATTCTGATTTATAGAGCCTGATGTTGTTATTAATCTCATCATCTCAAAAAGCATGTCAGCTGTCTCTCTAACTTGGAATTTACCAGAAGGAAACTTGTAAAAAGAGCATACAAAAGAAACAAAGGGTTGGAACTGAGTTGGGTTTAATGTAACTGATACCTGACACATTGAATATCTCTGGATCAGCTCCCTAACTGAAATAGTTGCAATGAGATATGGACACTACATACATGTGGACATGTGTGAATGCACATGTAAATAAAAGAGTTTTATGAAATATGTAAACTGTTAGTAATATATATATATATATATATATATATATATATATATATGTAAATTGTTAGTTTTAAGATATATGGCCCATGTATCTAAATTAAACTGAAAAAGCAGCTCGTTTTGAAATCATTGTTTTTGTGATATTACAAAACCAAAGCATTTACATATACCTGCCTGTTCAGACTACAGCAGTTTTTCTCTGCCTGTTCACTCTGAAGTTATAAAGAGGACTAGGTTTGCAATGAGGCTCAGTACAGACAGCCAATCAGACCAGAAGTCCTTTAGAAATATTCTAAAGTCTTTAAGTCTTAAAAGCACAGTAGCAGAAACAGCCTGTTTAATTTTTAGGGATAAGGAAATGTTGGAAAATGGTTATGTAAAAACAAATCATGGCTATTTTTGGAACATAAACTGCACAAATGTTATAAGTCAGTGGTTCCTAAACTTTTTACAGTCCTCTACCCCCTCAGACATTAAACTTGCTACTGCGTACGCCCTCTCGCTCTTTATACACACATACATGTGTATATTGTCATATATTTTTGTGTGTGTGTGTTCTCTGAGAGTTTACAATGGTAAAGTGAACAGCAAGTAACAAAATGTTCACTAACTGACCCACAGATCGCATATATCACAGTAACATCCTCCACTCAGCATTTAACAGAGCTACAAACATGAAGCAGCGGAGCTACAAACATGTAACCAAAATCAAAGCAGCTACAAATAACTCACTACAACCATGAACTAATGCACATCTGTGAAAGTGAAACTAACTCAAGTACATGACTTGATCATCATACAGACCTTAATGACAGCTAGTAAAGGATATTCACTTCATTCAGGCTCTTCATACAGTGCATGATAAACTGGATTAACTAACTGTTGTTAGTTTCTCCTGAATGCATGGTGCTCAGAAGAGGCTGGAGTGAAACGCCTTCTTCTTTTATTGCAACCTTTTATAATAAAAGACTAAAATACCAAACTATCAGAGCACCAGTTCGCTGTGTGATGGAAGCTGTTTGTGTCGCCCATATGAGAGGTAACTGTGTAACTGTGCTGATGAATTGTGCTACCTTGTCAAAAAGTCCTACTGTAGTGCATATTTATAGGCAGCTCACTACATAAAACTGTAAGTAGGATATTTTGATAGACTGAATCACTGTATCTCAAAAAATGCTGCCAGTGTTGAGATGTGTAGGTAGGATTTTAATGGCCTAAATCTAAGTAGCAATATTAAGCTGAGTCTGTACAGTAGACTTGAGATAAGGCTGAATTAACATTAAAAACACAAGTTACTACACTATAGTAATGATGTGAGCATGCTCATTAGGACCGCTCGATGAGTAGAACAAATTATATTAAACCAAGATTAATGTCAGAATTTTTTGGAAGTATCCACAATGTAAGTTGATGTACCCCTGGGGCCCCACCTACAGAAAACCAAGAAAAGCCTGAAAAGAACAAATTTGTGTGTGTGTGAATAAAACGTTTTTTTCATGTGTCTGTTTTCAGAGCCAGATATTGTCACCAATCTTACCTCAAACTCAACCACAACATCTGTTACTCTAACCTGGAATTTACGACAAGGCGGAAGTTCCTTCTATACAGTAGCATGGACTAGTGATGTGCTTCACAACGTAAACACGCCAGACACGTCTTACACAGTCACTGGTCTTACTGCTGGTGTGAACTACACGTTCACTGTAACTGCTGTTGCTGCAGATAATGTAACGGCAGGATCACCAGTTCAGATCTCAGCATTCACAAGTAAGTCCTGCACTGCACATCTGCATGTAAAACAAATCACATAGGAAACTGTAGGTAGACCTAATCTCATTCTTTGATCGTAACATACACCATCTGCATACAGCTATACAAACGTGTTTGTATTTCACTCATCCTACATCTGTTTACAGAGCCAGGCACCGTCACCAATCTCACTGTCTCTGATAGAAGCACGTCATCTGTGTCTTTAACCTGGAATTTACCACAAGGAAATAATTCCTCCTATACAGTAGAGTGGACTGATGTAAATGGTTCTAACAAAGTTAACGTTTCAAACACGACTTACACAGTCACTAATCTGACTGCTGGAGGGAAGTACACATTCATTGTCACTGCAGTTGCTGCAGATGGAGTAACTGCAGGAGCACCAACTCAGATCTCAGCATTCACAAGTAAGTCCTTTAGTGCAGGTAATGTCCTTTTAACATATGTTGAGTTTTGAAGTATGTAAATGATATTTTTTCCTTTTTTTGTCATGCAAAACAAATGAATTTGAAATTCTGGTTTTGGTTTAGGAAGGTATACTTAATCCCATTCCATGTTTAAAGGGGAATTCCACAGATTTTTAAAAATGTCTGCATAATGAAATTGTTAAGACATAAACAATGTCATTTGGAGTGATTGTGTGAATGTGAAATGCACCATTCAAGAGAAACTTACCCAGTCAGAATTGTTCTGATAGGAACTAGACGTCCAAAAATGCCTCTAAACTTATTACATAAAATGATTGAGTATGCTACCTTATGACTGCCACATTTATTTTGCCCTAAAACATATGGTTCTAATTACATTCATGGTGGAGGGGTACATGTAATGTGTTGTAAGACAAAATAGTGCCAAAAGATTCAGATTTGCCCCTATTTTACCATCATCAACATAACCTAAGAAGCCCAAAAGACTCAATGGTGGTATTGTATAGTAAATAAAAGGCCTATATTTGGATTGTAGACACTGCAACCTCCATCAAGTACATTTCTCTAGAATGGCTCATTTTACACTAAAAAAAACCTTGAACAAATTTGTTTACAACTCCACAAGTGAATTTTACAGAAAACGCGAAAAATCAGTGGAATTCCCTTATAATGCCTTATAAGGTGTCAAAACAGCACTGGATTTGTGAGTAAAACTCCTTGTGGCACGGCATGTGCTACCCTGGGCTCAAGGAGGACGCTGGAGGCAGGGTTCAGGGCTGCAGCAGCCATGTTTCTTTAATCACACACCAAATAAATACAAACTCAAACAAACCAAAACCAAAGATACACTATACTAAGCTGGCCACTTTTCAGTGGCCTCTAGCAACAGACTTTTCAGTCTTTTTACTCAGGCTTTTCAGCCCTTCCTCAGTCTTTTGTCGTTTCTGCTGCTGCTGCTCCCTCTCAGCTCTTTTTAAAGGCGCTCACTCCCGAGCCGAGAGGGAACGAGAGCTCGCCGCTCCGCCTCCTCGTCACCGCCCCCAGCTTGCAGCTCGGCCGCCTGGGTCGAACGTGAGGTGTAGTGAAGCGGCCTCACTGCGTACCAGGGGGCGGGGCTCGGGCGGCGGAGCTCGGGACTCGCTCGTTATCGTGCCTCTCGTTGCTGGCACCGTCGTCGTCTTCCTCCTCCTCCCGCCGTCACTCAGGTCACTTGGCGGGGCTCGGGCTTTGCGCTCCGCCCCCTCCACACTCGCGGCTCTCTCCCCGCCGTCCTCGCCGGTGTTCGTCTCTGCTCGATGTTCGGGCCCCGCCTTCCCGCCGGCTCTCGCGGCTGTTATCGTCGGGGCCCGGGGGGCAGGCGCATGCCACACTCCTTCATGTGTCTGCTTACAGAACCAAATGTTGTCACCAATCTCAACGTATCTCGCAAAGACACATCATTTGTCTCTCTAACCTGGAACTCACCACAAGGAAATAGTTCCTTCTATAGAGTAGAGTGGACTGAAGGCAGTGTTTCTAAACAAGTTAACACTTCAAGTATGTCCTACACAGTCTCTAATCTGACTGCTGGAGTGAACTACACATTCAGTGTTAAGGCAGTTGCTGCAGATAACAAAACAACAGGAGCATCAGTTCAGATCTCAGCATTCACAAGTAAGTCCTGCACTGCAGATAATGGTGTCCTACAATTATTTTAAATGTTAAAAAGGTGAGGATGGGAATGATGGTTTAGTTTGTTTTGGTATACCAGACAAACTGAAATGTAGTTCTGGTTCTGAATTAGGGAGGTAGACCTATTCTCACACCTTGTACATCTTTGACATCTTTCACTCTTAATCTAGGACAGTGTTTATCCTAAGTTTAGTCAACCCTCTTGGAGGCTAAATGCTAGCACTGTCATTTCAAGGACTGATTAATGTGTAAGAGGTCTTAATATACTTTGATGAACAGCTTGATTCTCTTTCTCTCTGAAGGTGCTGGAAAAGGCACAAGTATAAGGTACCGGAGTATTGGTTGTCCTAGGTTTATTCGACTCTCTTGGAGGCTAAATGCTAAAATTGTTATGCCAAACATTAATATCTTAGAGGTTTTATGTGTTACTTTAAAGTATGATCTTACAGCTGCCATTTATCCAGTAAAAAGGCAGTAACTTTGTGATCTTCCTCACTTAGTGTGCTGGAAAAGACTCAAGTAATACTGTCTATTTTATTTTTATTTTGATTGTTTTTCACTCTTAAGCTCCTTGTCTTTGTTCTTTTGCTTTTATTTATGTAAAGCACACTGAATTGCTTTTGTGCATGAAATGTGCTATATATATAAACTTGCCTTGTTTTGCAATGCCATGTAGCACATGCCTAATGAGGCAGTATGTAAGCTGTTTGAGCAGATAGCACTGGTGCTAGAAAAGTGTCAAAAGTTTCAGAAAACTTCTTGAAAGTTTCTTTGTATATGCTGATTTGGCATCACTTGTGGTAAGCAGCAGAACATAGATTTGAAGCATAATAGTGTGCACTGACATGTTACATGCAGAGTTTAAATGAAAGGTGGCTAGATCAAACACAGTGGAAAGACTGTCGCTGTAGATAAGTTTTCCAGTTCCACTATAAAATCGTTCTATATTACAGAAATTTTTAAAGTTTCAAAATGTACTGTTCCCTCCCAAGTCCATATGTTCCATGTGCAGAAATTAAGCTGCAAAAGCAGCCCGTTTTAAATGCATTGTTTTTGTGATGTCACAAAACCAAGGCATTTACATATACCTGCTTCTTTAGACTACAGCAGTTTTTCTTTGCCCACTCACCCTGAAGTTATAAACGAGTGTCTGCCTGGACTAGTTTTGGAATGAGGCTCAGTATAGATAGCCTATCAGACTAGAAGTCATTTACAAATATCAGCCTTAAGGGCATAATAATGGAAACAGCCTGTTTAACCTTTTGGGATGAAGAGGTTGGGCAATGGTCATGTCAACGGGCCCTTTATTTTTTTCCTGGTGTGTGACAATATTATCACATTGTACAGTCTTCCTACAGAAAAAAACAAGAAAACCCTGAAAACAACAAATTTATGTGTGTGTGTGTGTGAATAAAGCTTTTCTGTGTGTCTGTTTTCAGAGCCAGATATTGTCACCAATCTTACCTCAAACTCAACCACAACATCTGTTACTCTAACCTGGAATTTACGACAAGGTGGAAGTTCCTTCTATACAGTAGCATGGACTAGCGATGTGCCTTACAACAGAAACACACCAGACACGTCTTACACAGTCACTGGTCTTACTGCTGGTGTGAACTACACGTTCACTGTAACTGCTGTTGCTGCAGATAATGTAACGGCAGGATCACCAGTTCAGATCTCAGCATTCACAAGTAAGTCCTGCACTGCACATCTGCATGTAAAATAAATCACATAGGAAACTGTAGGTAGACCTAATCTCATTCTTTGATCGTAACATACACCATCTGCATACAGCTATACAAACGTGTTTGTATTTCACTCATCCTACATCTGTTTACAGAGCCAGGCGCCGTCACCAATCTCACTGTCTCTGATAGAAGCACGTCATCTGTGTCTTTAACCTGGAATTTACCACAAGGAAATAGTTCCTCCTATACAGTAGAGTGGACTGATGTAAATGGTTCTAACAAAGTTAACGTTTCAAACACGACTTACACAGTCACTAATCTGACTGCTGGAGGGAAGTACACATTCATTGTCACTGCAGTTGCTGCAGATGGAGTAACTGCAGGAGCACCAACTCAGATCTCAGCATTCACAAGTAAGTCCTTTAGTGCAGGTAATGTCCTTTTAACATATGTTGAATATTGAAGTATGTAAATGATATTTTTTCTTCTTTTTTTGTCATGCAAAACAAATGAATTTGAAAATCGTGATTTAATTTGTAATGCATCATTCTAGAGAAACGTACCCAGTCACAACTGTTCTCATAGGAACCAGACATCCAAAGAATTTAATGCACTTTTATAATGAAGTGTTAGTCTAAAATATGTTTTTAAATGCATTCATGGCAGACAGATACATGCAGTGTGGTGCAAGGCAAAACTGTCCCCACAAAAAAACTTTTTTTCTCAAATTTCTCCCTATTTTACCATAATTAATGATGCACATAAAAACTCAAAAGACGCATGTAGGTTCATTTGTGGTTTTGTACAGTAAATAGAATGGCTATATTTGGGTTGTAAACATTGTGACCCCTGATTCCTATAATCACCACCAAGTAAATATGTTTCTCTAGAATGGCACATTTTACATTGAAACACTCGACTTTGTTTACACCATTGTTTACCACCACCTGAATTATGCAGAAAATATGAAAAATCAGCGAAATTCTCCAGTAATGTTACTAACGTGTCAAAACAGCACATTGTGTGGGTTGAGTTTGTGAGTAAAACTTCATGTGTTTGCTTACAGAACCAGATGCTGTCACCAATCTCACCATATCTGACAGTAACACATCATCCGTATCTCTAACCTGGAATTCACCACAAGGAAATAGTTCCTTCTATAGAGTTGGGTGGACTGATGGCAATATGTATATCAATGCTACCACTTCAAACACGTCTTACACAGTCACTAATCTGACTCCTGGAGTTAACTACACGTTCAGTGTTACTGCAGTTGCTGGAGATGGAGTAACTGCAGGGGCACTAGTTCAGACCTCAACATTCACAAGTAAGTACTGTAGTACAGGTATTGTAATGTAATTTACAACATGCTGTACATCTTGATAAGACCACAGTGTGATTGATGCAAAGCCCCACTCATCTATAGCAGCCTATTAATCCCAGCTAGCATTCACCATGACTGCACATATTCAATGATTAGCTACAGTTACTAGTCCCTTCCTTTTAACATTGGCACTAAAGTAAAGTCTATTATCCAGGCTATTTTAAAGCTTGTAGAATGCTTTTCCCTCTATTATACCTCACTAGAATGCAGTAACTCTTGTGTAACTATGCATAGAGTCATTGCAGTGCTACCATGTTTATTTTATTAACTCAGAACAGCTTTTAACCATAAGCTGAAGTGCTAAGTAGCCTTGGCCCGATAATTGATATTATCGAATATTGCGATAAATTAAATAAGTGCTGATAATATGCCAATTATCATTATTTCCTTCTCTTTCATGTGTCATGTGATTTTTGTTTTGATTTTTGTGTACAATGTACAGTCATTCAAATCTACTCTTAGTGTAACCCCTTAAAATCCCAAGATTTTTACATACTGAGACTTATTATTCAGTAACTACAGGGACTTCAGTGCAAACTGGTTGAGCTATTCTTAGGTTATAGAAGTGTGTGATAAAACTTTGGGCCCACCAATGGACCCTTGCCATTTAAAAGGTCAAAATGTATGCAGTTGAAAAGGCTACATTTAATTATAGGAAATGCAAACATTACCGACCAGTTGTGCATGCAGACATACATTGAATGCAAACTGGAAAGATTATAATGTCGATTTTTCAGCAAAAATGCTGGAGAACACACAAACAAACAAAGAAACTCTGGTCCATGAGATCTACACTGTGGTGAGCTTGTCCAGAAGAAGGTTGTGTGGCAATATTTTGATTTCCAACCAAACAAATGCAGAAAATCACTGGATGTTAACAGTGCTAACTTCCATTTGTGCGAAATATAATTATCATAAAGAATTATGAAGTAATATTAGAAGCTAGCCCAGTTGGTAATTATATGACAATTAAAAAAAATTACCAATAACCAACTGACCAGTGCATTCAAATCTTATAGTATTGCCCAAAATTGCTTTTTTCCCCATTTTTTTATTTATTGGAAAGAGCAAAGAGCAACTCAAACATGGGGAATAGAAGACATAGTTGTCACTATCTATAATTTTTACTATGTAACAGTCACTTACCCCTGTGCTGAATGAAACCAAACCCCCCAGCCAATCACTTTTTACATAAAGGTACTTTACAAATGCCCAATTCTCAAATATGAATGCAATGACATGAGAAAATCCCAATTAAACAAACAAAAAAAATCCATGAGTATAAGAAAGATGTATGATGGAACCTTTTCACATATAATATACACAAGGGGAAGTAACTAGATTTTCTTTGCAGTCTCTTCTCCTAACTTTCTTTTAGGTGACCAGTACTTTGGACCAGTCAGTTGGACTTTCTTTCTTGTCAGCCAGGTTCAGCTAGATCTAGCTGGCTATCATAAAACAGTAATTAAAATTAACAACACATTTTTCTGTGTTTTCTTTTTTACACAGACCCAGATGTTGTCTCCAACCTCAATGTTTCTGACAAAAACACATCATCTGTGTTTCTAATCTGGATTCTGCAACATGGGAACAGCTTCTTTTTCAGAGTAGAATGGACTGGTGGCAGTGCTACCACTTCACTCACTTCTTACATGGCCACGAATTTGACTGCTGGAATGAACTACACATTCAGTGTCACTGCAGTTGCTGCAGATGGAAAAACTACAGGAGCAACAACTCAAATTTCAACATTCACAAGTAAGTCTTATACCACAGACACTGTCATGTTTCTAATTAAAAATGCCAAGTAACAGATAAAATACTTTTGGGATCTCAAGCTCTCTTATGTGTTTACATACATGAACCTTATAAATTTGGATTTCAAAGTAGGAACAAAATCAGCTCATACTCTTGTCAGTATTTTTAAATAACTTTCCATATTTGTCTATGTCATCAGGGGGAATTACATGGTTTAAATTATTCTTTGGAGAGAAGCATGGAGAAATGTGGCGTGAATGTGCTTTTTGGATTATAATATTTCTAGAAAATATCCAGTTTTCTGTTTCCTGTGCCCCTCACATTCAGAATCTAAACTTGGTAAAAACTAGCAAAAACTATTGTCTTCGTCTTCCCAGCTGGCATTTATAATAGAGGTGGAACTTCTTTAGATGAAGTCAGTAGAGCTTAGTGTGTTGTTTAACATATTGAAAAATTAGTATATAAGGTAGAAGTGCACACTTTTGTTTTTGATGTTATTACAAGATGGATCTTATAGTATATGCAAGTTTTTTTAATTATTAGTGATTATACTGAATTAATTAAGAGTTTGAGGTCATTTCTGAACAAAATGCCCAAATGGATTTATTAGTACAACGCTGTAGTTGCTTCTGCACTGATCCCAAAATCTAAAATGGGTGGTGACAAAACTACCTTTGTTCACAACTAACAGAAAAATCACTGTCAATCACCTGAATCCTGATACTAAAATTGGCAAAGAGAAGAGGAAGGACAGACATATGTGTTTAGCTTTTACTTCATTTAGCTTTCATGCTGAAAATCTGTTTTATGTATTTATTTATTTATTTATTAAACCTGAAAATAAACAACAGAAAATTTTTGAATCTTGAAAAATTTTGAACAAATAAATTATATGATGATTAAAATGAAAAGGAAATATTCAAAATGTTTCACGATTTCTAGGTTATTATTCAAATTGAAACAACTTTGTAAAATTGACCATAGTAAGGCCTTTATAAAAAAAGGTCAGATTTTTTTGTCTTATGAATTTCTGAGCAGTGTTTACTTAAATTGCACACTTTTTCACACATAGAACCGGAGATCATTCAGAATCTCACTATCATTGGTGTAACAACCTCTTCGGTATTACTGAACTGGATTAATCCAGTGGGGGAAAGTTCCTATTACAGAGTCCAATATGACAGTTTGAATAAGACTCTGAATCAGACTACTCAAAATACCACGATCAACATCACTGATCTGATTCCTGGAGTGCAGTATATGTTCAGAGTTTTTGCAGTCGCTGCAGATAACAGCACAGAGGGGAGTTATGGAAACATTTCAACTTATACGAGTAAGAAATAACAGAGAAATTTATAATATCAAGCACATGCAAATGTACCATTAGTTGTTTCTTTCATGTGAATTAAATCATTTTCTGAAAACACTGCCCATTATTTTGTACTCACAGAACCAGAGGTTATAAGGAATCTGACTGTGACAGAAATCACAACAACCTCATTGTTTATCAATTGGACTGAACCAATAGGACAGAGATCTTTCTTTAAAGTGCAGTGGACCTGTGACAATGAAACTTCCAATGCAAACACCAGCCAAACTTTCTTTAATATCACTAATCTCATTGCTGGAGTAAATTACTACATCATAGTCTCTGCTGTAGCTGCAGATAATTCATCTGAAGGGAATTTAATTAGCCTTTTATCCTATACAAGTAAGTTTCAGAGTCTGCAACTGTGGCCATGTTTGATGTCACATGAATTTCTGAGCAGTGTTTACATAAATTGCACACTTTTTCACTCATAGAACCGGACATCGCTCAGAATCTCACTGTCGTTAATGTAACAACCTCATCGGTATTACTGAACTGGATTAAGCCAGTCGGGGAAAGTTCCTATTACAGAGTCCAGTATGACAATTTTAATAAGATTCTGAATCAGACTACTCAAAATACCACGATCAACATCACTGATCTGACTCCTGGAGTGCAGTATATGTTTAGAGTTTATGCAGTCGCTGCAGATAACAGCACAGAGGGGAATTATGGATACATTTCAACTTACACAAGTAAGACATAAATAAGAAAGTGTTGATATGAAGCACATGCAAATGTACCATTAGCTGTTTCTTTCATTAGTTGGTCTTTTAGTCAGTGCCAGTAAGCTTTAGAGCCTGCAACTGTGGCCATATTTAATGGTTAGATGAATTTCTGAGCAGTGTTTACCTAAATTGCATGCTTTTTCCCTCCTAGAACCGGACATCGTTCAAAATCTCACTGTCGTTAATGTTACAACCTCATCGGTATTACTGAACTGGTTTAAGCCGGTGGGGGAAAGTTCCTATTACAGAGTCCAATATGACAATTTCAATAAGACTCTGAATCAGACTACTCAAAATACCACCATCAACATCACTGATCTGATTCCTGGAGCGCAGTATATGTTCAGAGTTTTTGCAGTCGCTGCAGATAACAGCACAGAGGGGAATTATGGATACATTTCAACTTACACAAGTAGGAAAATAAATGGGAGATGCTTCATATACAGTACATGCAATTTAAAATTTTGCAGTTTCCTCATGTGAACTCTAGTAATTGTCTGAAACTATTGCTGCTTACTTTGTACACACAGAACCAGAGGTTATAAGGACTCTGACTGTGACAGAAATCACAACAACCTCATTGTTTATCAATTGGACTGAACCAATAGGACAGAGATCTTTCTTTAAAGTGCAGTGGACCTGTGACAATGAAACTTCCAATGCAAACACCAGCCAAACTTTCTTTAATATCACTAATTTAATGGCTGGAGTAAATTATAATCTCAGTGTATCGGCTGTGGCTAGAGACAATTCAACTGAAGGCAAATCATTTGGTCTTTTTTCAGTGTATACAAGTAAGTTTCAGAGCCTGCAATTGTGTGAATATTTGATGTCAGATTAATTTCTGTGCTTTGTGTACTCAAGTCATTCTCTTTTGCACTCACAGAACCTGACATTGTTCAAAATCTCCCTGTCGTTAACGTTACAACCTCATCGGTATTACTGAACTGGTTTAAGCCGGTGGGGAAAAGTTCCTATTACAGAATCCAATATGACAATTTCAATAAGACTCTGAATCAGACTACTCAAAATACCACGATCAACATCACTGATCTGATTCCTGGAGCGCAGTATATGTTCAGAGTTTTTGCAGTCGCTGCAGATAACAGCACAGAGGGGAATTATGGATACATTTCAACTTACACAAGTAGGAAAATAAATGGGAGATGCTTCATATACAGTACATGCAATTTAAATTTTGCTGTTTCCTCATGTGAACTCTAGTAATTGTCTGAAACTATTGCTGCTTACTTTGTACACACAGAACCAGAGGTTATAAGGACTCTGACTGTGACAGAAATCACAACAACCTCATTGTTTATCAATTGGACTGAACCAATAGGACAGAGATCTTTCTTTAAAGTGCAGTGGACCTGTGACAATGAAACTTCCAATGCAAACACCAGCCAAACTTTCTTTAATATCACTAATTTAATGGCTGGAGTAAATTATAATCTCAGTGTATCGGCTGTTGCTAGAGACAATTCAACTGAAGGCAAATCATTTGGTCTTTTTTCAGTGTATACAAGTAAGTTTCAGAGCCTGCAATTGTGTGAATATTTGATGTCAGATTAATTTCTGTGCTTTGTGTACTCAAGTCATTCTCTTTTGCACTCACAGAACCTGACATTGTTCAAAATCTCACTGTCGTTAATGTTACAACCTCATCGGTATTACTGAACTGGATTAAGCCAGTGGGGAAAAATTCCTATTACAGAATCCAATATGACAATTTCAATAAGACTCTGAATCAGACTACTCAAAATACCACGATCAACATCACTGATCTGATTCCTGGAGTGCAGTATATGTTCAGAGTTTTTGCAGTCGCTGCAGATAACAGCACAGAGGGGAGTTATGGAAACATTTCAATTTACACAAGTAAGACATAAATAAGAAAGTGTTGATATGAAGCACATGCAAATGTACCATTAGCTGTTTCTTTCATTAGTTGGTCTTTTAGTCAGTGCAAGTAAGCTTTAGAGCCTGCAACTGTGGCCATATTTAATGGTTAGATGAATTTCTGAGCAGTGTTTACCTAAATTGCATGCTTTTTCCCTCCTAGAACCGGACATCGTTCAAAATCTCACTGTCGTTAATGTTACAACCTCATCGGTATTACTGAACTGGTTTAAGCCGGTGGGGGAAAGTTCCTATTACAGAGTCCAATATGACAGATTTCAATAAGACTCTGAATCAGACTACTCAAAATACCACCATCAACATCACTGATCTGATTCCTGGAGCGCAGTATATGTTCAGAGTTTTTGCAGTCGCTGCAGATAACAGCACAGAGGGGAATTATGGATACATTTCAACTTACACAAGTAGGAAATAACATGGGAGATGCTGTCATATACAGCTACATGCAATGTAAACATTAGTTGCAGTTTCCTCATGTGAACTCTAGTAATTGTCTGAAACTATTGCTGCTTACTTTTGTACACACAGAACCAGAGGTTATAAGGACTCTGACTGTGACAGAAATCACAACAACCTCATTGTTTATCAATTGGACTGAACCAATAGGACAGAGATCTTTCTTTAAAGTGCAGTGGACCTGTGACAATGAAACTTCCAATGCAAACACCAGCCAAACTTTCTTTAATATCACTAATCTCATGGCTGGAGTAAATTATAATCTCAGTGTATCGGCTGTTGCTAGAGACAATTCAACTGAAGGCAAATCATTTGGTCTTTTTTCAGTGTATACAAGTAAGTTTCAGAGCCTGCAATTGTGTGAATATTTGATGTCAGATTAATTTCTGTGCTTTGTGTACTCAAGTCATTCTCTTTTGCACTCACAGAACCTGACATTGTTCAAAATCTCACTGTCGTTAATGTTACAACCTCATCGGTATTACTGAACTGGTTTAAGCCGGTGGGGAAAAGTTCCTATTACAGAATCCAATATGACAATTTCAATATGACTCTGAATCAGACTACTCAAAATACCACGATCAACATCACTGATCTGATTCCTGGAGTGCAGTATATGTTCAGAGTTTTTGCAGTTGCTGCAGATAACAGCACAGAGGGGAGTTATGGAAACATTTCAATTTACACAAGTAAGACATAAATAAGAAAGTGTTGATATGAAGCACATGCAAATGTACCATTAGCTGTTTCTTTCATTAGCTGGTCTTTTAGTCAGTGCAAGTAAGCTTTAGAGCCTGCAACTGTGGCCATATTTAATGGTTAGATGAATTTCTGAGCAGTGTTTACCTAAATTGCACACTTTTTCACCCATAGAACCGGACATCGTTCAGAATCTCACTGTCATTGGTGTAACAACCTCATCGGTATTACTGAAATGGATTAATCCAGTGGGAGAAAGTTCCTATTACAGAGTCCAGTATGACAATTTCAATAAGACTCTGAATCAGACTACTCAAAATACCACGATCAACATCACTGATCTGATTCCTGGAGTGCAGTATATGTTCAGAGTTTTTGCAGTCGCTGCTGATAACAGCACAGAGGGGAATTATGGATACATTTCAACTTACACGAGTAAGAAATAACAGAGAAATTTCATATACAAGCACATGCAATGTACCATTAGTTAGTTTCTTTCATGTGAACTCTAATCATTTTCTGAACACACTGCCCATTATTTTGTACTCCCAGAACCAGAGGTTATAAGGACTCTGACTGTGACAGAAATCACAACAACCTCATTGTTTATCAATTGGACTGAACCAATAGGACAGAGATCTTTCTTTAAAGTGCAGTGGACCTGTGACAATGAAACTTCCAATGCAAACACCAGCCAAACTTTCTTTAATATCACTAATCTCATTGCTGGAGTAAATTATAATCTCAGTGTATCGGCTGTTGCTAGAGACAATTCAACTGAAGGCAAATCGTTTGGTCTTTTTTCAGTGTATACAAGTAAGTTTCAGAGCCTGCAATTGTGTGAATATTTGATGTCAGATTAATTTCTGTGCTTTGTGTACTCAAGTCATTCTCTTTTGCACTCACAGAACCTGACATTGTTCAAAATCTCACTGTCGTTAATGTTACAACCTCATCGGTATTACTGAACTGGATTAAGCCAGTGGGGAAAAATTCCTATTACAGAATCCAATATGACAATTTCAATAAGACTCTGAATCAGACTACTCAAAATACCACGATCAACATCACTGATCTGATTCCTGGAGTGCAGTATATGTTCAGAGTTTTTGCAGTCGCTGCAGATAACAGCACAGAGGGGAGTTATGGAAACATTTCAACCTACACAAGTAAGAAATAAATAAGAAAGTGTTGATATGAAGCACATGCAAATGTACCATTAGCTGTTTCTTTCATTAGTTGCTCTTTCAGTCTATTCAAGTAAGTTTCAGAGTCTGCAACTGTGGCCATATTTGATGGTTAGATGAATTTCTGAGCAGTGTTTACATAAACTGCACACTTTTTCACCCATAGAACCGGACATCATTCAGAATCTCACTGTCATTGGTGTAACAACCTCTTCGGTATTACTGAACTGGTTTAAGCCGGTGGGGGAAAGTTCCTGTTACAGAGTCCAGTATGACAATTTCAATATGACTCTGAATCAGACTACTCAAAATACCACGATCAACATCACTGATCTGATTCCTGGAGTGCAGTATATGTTCAGAGTTTTTGCAGTCGCTGCAGATAACAGCACAGAGGGGAATTATGGAAACATTTCAACTTACACAAGTAAGAAATAAATAAGAATGTTTTAATATGAAACACATGCGAATGTACCATTAGCTGTTTCTTTCATTAGTTGGTCTTTCACAGTCTGTACAGTTAAGTTTCAGAACCTGCAACTGTGGCCATGTTTGATGTTTAGATGAATTTCTGAGCAGTGTTTACATAAATTACACACTTTTTCCCTCTTAGAACCGGACATCGTTCAGAAACTCACTGTCGTTAATGTTACAACCTCATCGATATTACTGAACTGGTTTAAGCCGGTGGGGGAAAGTTCCTATTACAGAGTCCAATATGACAGTTTGACTAAGACTCTGAATCGGACTACTCAAAATACCATGATCAACATCACTGATCTGATTCCTGGAGTGCAGTATATGTTTAGAGTTTATGCAGTTGCTGCAGATAACAGCACAGAGGGGAGTTATGGAAACATTTCATCTTACACAAGTAAGAAATAAATAAGAATGTTTTAATATAAAACACATGCAAATGTACCATTAGCTGGTTCTTTAATCAGCTGGTCTTTCAGTCTGTACATTAAGTTTTAGAGCCTGCAATTGTGTCTATAGTTGATGTCACATGAATTTCTGAGCAGTGTTTACCTAAATTGCATGCTTTTTCCCTCTTAGAACCGGACATCGTTCAGAATCTCACTGTCATTGGTGTAACAACCTCTTCGGTATTACTGAACTGGATTAAGCCAGTGGGAGAAAGTTCCTATTACAGAGTCCAACATGACAATTTCAATATGACTCTGAATCAGACTACTCAAAATACCACGATCAAAATCACTGATCTGATTCCTGGAGCGCAGTATATGTTCAGAGTTTTTGCAGTCGCTGCTGATAACAGCACAGAGGGGAATTATGGAAACATTTCAACTTACACGAGTAAGAAATAAATGGGAAATGTTTCATATTATGTACATGCAGTATCCTCATGTGAACTCTAGTAATTGTCTGAAACTACTGCTGCTTACTTTGTACTCACAGAACCAGAGGTTATAAGGAATCTGACTGTGCCAGAAATTACAGCAACCTCTTTGTTTATGAACTGGACTGAACCAATAGGACAGAGATCTTTCTTTAAAGTACAGTGGACCTATGACAATGAAACTTCCAATGCAACCACCAGCCAAACTTTCTTTAATATCACTAATCTCATTCCTGGAGGATATTACTACATCAGAGTATCTGCTGTAGCTGCAGATAATAAAACTGAAGGCGAAGTGGTCACTCGTTCACCATACACAAGTAAGTTGAGTAGTCTAGTGTTGATGACGATTAAATTTGTCTTCAATGGACCATTGGTATGAATGGATCAATTATGAGTTCTTGAATTAAAGGGATTCACAGTATTTTGCATCATCTTTTTGTTATTTGTTTTAAGGAGTATGTATTGTGTAGAATTATTCCTTGTTTGTTTTTTCCTTCCTTGTGGACTTTTCCTTCTCTCACAGAACCAGAGGCCATCACAAATCTCACAAATCCCAAGATAATAAGACCATCAGAGACAAAGATGCACCAATACCGATACAGTACCTGATCGTTAAATATATGCCGATACAGAGTACCAATACCAATACTATAGCTATCTATATCCCCGTCGCAGATACTGCGTTTAAGTGCCAGTATTGTCGCCGATATCGATACAGTATCAGTATTGGTGCAACACTAATCAGGAACGAGACCTTTCTTTAGTGTACTTTGGACTAATGGCGGTTTGCTTTTTAGTGATTCAACTAAAGCTATTTTCTTTAACTTCACTGAATCTATTCTTGGAGTGGTCTGCTGTTGCTGCGTATAACATAAGTCACATCAGTGGGTTTTTCAAACTATACAAGTAATTATTTGAAGATTTTGCAGAAATTAGTCATTCAGCCAGAAAATGAATGACTAGTAAGTCTTTATTTCAGTCAGTTATTTCCTTACATGTGCCTTCTCTTCCCACAGGACCAGAAATCATCAGAAATCTCAACGCCTTCCAAATCTCAACAAGAAATGTATCTCTGAACTGGACTGCACCAACAGGAAAGAGTGCTTTCTTTAGAGTGCTAGGGCTGAATGAGAGTGTAATCTTCAATAAAACAACTAAAGTAACATCCTTTGACATCACCGATCTCACTCCTGGATTAAATTTCACATTTCATGTCTCTGCTATTGCTGCTGATAATTTTACGGAAGGAGGCGTAGCTAGTCTTTCCGTATGTACAGGTAAGTTTTGCTGCATTATATATTAAGTGATTTCTTTGTTCAAATAGTTTAACAATGTACTGATGCGCAGTGAGTAGTGCTGTCACCTCACAGCGAGAAGGGCCGGGGTTCAATTCCCCGGCCAGGCGACCAGGGTCCTTTCTGTGTGGAGTTTGCATGATCTCCCTGAGTCCCACAGTGCAAAGACATGCAGTCAGGTGAATAGGAGATGCTAAATTTGTCTCAGGTGTGAAAGTGTTTGAACACGTGCATGTCTGTGTGTCTGCCCTGTGATGGATTGGATCCAGGAGGATAAGCAGCTTAAATAATGTGTGTGTTATAATACTCCAAGCTATCTCATTAATAAAATGTTTTATGAGTGAACAAAGTATCATATATGCAAATTTCCCTCCTTTCCAAAGCGGCCTTGCTGTGCTGCCAGATATGGCTAACTTAAACAATGGCTGGATGTTTTATAGGGATTATTCAGTGTTAGCTTTTGTTTAAATGCCCTTATTGAATGCGCAAGATAGACCTAAGATAAATTCTGGTATCTAGGCTAGAAAGAGGTTTTACATCAGTTCAGCAGTCAGCTAACAATTTGTGCATTCAGTGAGTAATAACTCTTATGTAAATAAGTTGAGAGCAAATGTTGGTGTACTCTGTGTTTACTTAATCTGTGTTAGTATTTAGCCAACTCTGCAGAAAAAATGACACACTAGAAACACTTAAAAGCAAATAGTGGTGTTGTCTGAGCACTTCTAATGTGATATAGGTTACAGCACACCGTAATGGCCTGTCTATTGTTGGTTCTTCCTGACTAAAGCAGTGTTCACACTAGTGCTGGGCGATTTTCACGATTAATTCGGTTAATTCGAATTAACGTTTTCACACTATGTTAGAAATGTGACAATCGAGTTTGTACATGTTTACATTGCTTGTATTTTGGTTAAAATACCAACAAAAACTATTCAAATTTTCAAGACGTACAAAAAATGCATCTTAAAAAATAAAAAAAAACGCCGTCTCTCACAGGTCTGTGCTGACCTCAGCCGCGCGGTACAAAACAAAAACACAAAACACTCCAAGATGGAGGCGGCGGCGCTTCAGAGGAGTGAACTCGTACCAGAGAAAGGTGGAGACATCAGTTCAGTGGTGTGGAACTGGTGCAGATTTGAAAAGTCAGATGTTGAACAAATTCATGTAAAGTGTAAGTTGTGTCGAAAGACAGTTGCAACCAAATTCAGCACTACGACGAATCTGTTCAGCCCTTACGGCACAAACACCCAGTGGAACGGGAGCAGTGAGTGAAACAACCGGCTGGGAACATCGTTGAGGCCTCAGCACTTCAAGAACCAAATAATAATAATAATAATAATAATAATAATAATCACAATAGGAATCGAGAATCGTTAATAAATTTGAAAATAATCAAGATTTTACTTTTTTGCAATATTGCCCAGCCCTAGTTCATGTTTATTGGTTGATTCCTCCTTTGTGTAGAACTACATGGACCTTTGACTCTGCACTGGCCTTGAAATGCACAGCCAATGACTATAGGCTATTTTTTAGCATCCTGTCTCTATAGATTATTAAAACATGTAGTCTGTATTTCAGGTTTTCTTGATTTATAACTTGACTCAGGCACCAAGAGGGTTTCAAAACACTTTACTGTTTTAAATGTCTCCCATAGGCTTCCATAGGGCAAAAAGCTGCATCAGAGTTTGGGTTTGAAATGATGTACAACTGTAAGCATAAAACGTTAAAAAAAAGGGTTATTGTGAGAATTATGAAAAATTATTTTGGCATGTTTTTACATTTAATCTGCTTTTCTGACCAAACTAGCTTCAGATGCCTGAAATGTTACTGATAACGGTGCTGAACAGTAAAATTGCCAAGATTACGTGTTTAGGACTTTGTCAACTCTTACCATTAGACGGGAAAAGCACAGCCTTTACAGAATATTGTGCCACTCAGTTAGCTGTGTATTCAAGTGTTTCTAAATGCAGTTTTTCTATGCCATATAGAAGGCTATGGAGTGTATTTTTGTTATTTTAGAGCAGGGGTGGGAAACCCAGAGAAAGTCCAGAAAGTCCAGTGTTCTGATTTCTCAGCTCTAATATAAGTAAACTTGGCAATTAACTGCTGAGCTGAAGTGTGAGCAGTAAATTCACCAAATCTCCATGGACCTGTCTTGTTTTATAAACCCCTGAATTTTTTTTTGTAGAAATAATGCATGGATGGCTAAATGTGCTTGGAAAGAATGTGCTATCCCTCTCCCTGTCAGTTTGGGGCTTTAATTGTGCCACAAATGTGTCCAGGCAGCTAGAAAAAAAATCCTGGGAAGGATTTTTATCTTTAGAGCTGAATTACTCACCTCTGGTTAAATGTCACTCCTTATTCATCAATGTTGTTGTGGCACTTTTACACATGTAGTAATTACCATATTTGTTCCTCTCAAGATGCAAGCCCGGTTCTTACCTACAGCTGTGAAGGACCAAATCATACAGATGCTTCGCTGAACATTACATGGATGAAACCCCCCGGCTTCTGCCACGGATTCAACCTTAGTGGCACCTATATCAGCCAAAACACCTGCAATCGTGACTGTCATCACATCATCTCTAATCTTCAATATGGCATGCCTTACAATGTGACTATTACAACCCTTGCATGTGGTCAGAGTGGCATACAGAATTTTGTGTGCACAACAGGATTTACAGGTATGTGATTTAACCCTCTACTGCATAGTGTTGCCTGAGGGCAACAAAGCCAACCTTCTTACTTTACATGAATTAATAACTATGAAAGGATTCATAATGAAGAGGAGTTTGAATAAAAACTTGTATTTGGCCACCCAGTTTCCTGATGGGCATTTTAAAACCTCAGTGCGGCATGATGCAATGATTGCATAACAAACAAAATTTCGTCATCAGACAATTTCATCCCTCCAAGTGTATGATCTGTGAAGTTTTTTTTTTTTTCATCCAATATCATAAAAATTATTATTGTTATGAAAAAGTGCTTAAGTATGCATGCCACCTGCAACACTGTGAGACTGTTGCGTGCAATATGGACAATGTAAGTGACAAGTTTGCCCCTTTTTAAATAGATTTTTGTTTTTGTTTTGTGATGTCGTGCAGTAGATAGCCTGCAGTATGTTTTACAGATGTCATCGTTTTTGTTTAAAAACAGAAAAGCCAATTCCAATTACTTGGACATTGATTCTTTTTATGCTTTATGGTTTTAACTGTTATTTATGGTTTTAAATGATTGTTTGGTGGTGTGCAAGAAATCAAACATTACTTCACGATATTGAATCATGATGGTGGTTTCTTTGAAAATAAAAAGAAATAGAACATTACTCAAAATTAACCAATTTTGTAGTTACTAAAATCTGTTTTCTAAGAGGCTCAGCATCATCCATGGTATGCAAGAAAACTGAATCACACTTTTTAAACATTGCTTTCATAATGCTTGCGACAGATGTTCATTCAGTCTCTGTGTCATACCTCCCAAATACTATGCAAAGATCTCATGCTTGGGTAACCAACATTACTGACAATATGTTAAGCCAGTGAGCCCACAGTATTATCTATTACATGGTAGAAATTAATCAAATTCACTTTTATTCTTTATTTCAGATCCACCAGTTCCAACCAAACCAGCAGACTTGATTTTCAGCCCGGGTTCAAATCAGAAAAGAACAGTCGTTCAATTCAGTGGCAGTCTTCTGAATGGCAGTAAAGGAGAGATTACAGCCTATGGTGTTCTACTGTCAACTGATTTCGACAGTAGGGTTTTCCCAGTTCTTTTTCAGTTGGTGTCAAATATAAGAATGCTAAATGCTTGTATTGTAGTCATTACAAGTACATCTGGGATCTTATTTCAGGTAACCCCAACAGAACAGACCTGAAAAATACCTATACTGATTGGACACAAAAGAAGAGCAAGAGCTATCTCACAGTTTTGAAACTCAATGAAAAAAGCATGGACAGGACTGAAATGATTCAGATCGAAATCGGAACTGATGAAACCATCCAAGGAACGAATTACACAAATGCACCTCTGGAGCCTAACCGGTACAGGTAAGCCAGTAAACAGCTTGGAAGGTTTGAAAAAGATAAGCTAATTTGAGTTCATTTGCAGGATTTAAAAAAATGGGATTTATACATTTTAGAAACTGTCTGAAAAATTCTGACATGTTATGCCAATTAAAAATACAATAAAACTAAAAAAGAAATACTAATGATTGCTAAAATGTATATGACCAGTGAAGAATAATTTAACAGACTAAGAGAAAAAAACACAAATACTCAGTACCATTTACTATTTTCACAAAATACTATTGATGATTTTTTTTCTCCTTGCAGGGTGGCAGTTGTTCTCTTCACGTACTTGCACATCAGCGACGGGATTGTAGACACCTCCCTGTCTTTTGTCTCTATAACACCATTTGCCACTGCCACCATAGATATACCTAACCGTAAATCATCTATCTTAGAATCCTCATTATGCAATCAGAGCTCACTTTCTCAGAAGCAGCACTGCATGAAAGTCATTATTAAATAGCTGAAAAAGTATAATTTTGTATACACTCTGTTAAACGATAAAGATGCTCTTAAAAATTCAGTGCTTCAGGGAAAATGAGCAAATAGTTTTTAAGAGATTCTGTGGTGTTTTGACAAATCACTTACTTTTCATTCTGACCTTTATAGCTTTGAACATTGTTGGCATTGTTTTGGGGGTTCTGTTCTTCATCATCATCATCCTCATTATCGTCATCATTGTCTTCATCAAACTGAAGAGGTGAGCAGTCATGTGAAACCTTCAGCTGAAAGCATACACACCTACACATATGGCATTGACTGAGACCTGCAGTACTGTTCAAGGGCTTTGGGTGCCTGGGAACATTAGATTTAAAAAGCTATTTATCTGGGCAGTAAGCATTTTATTTGTATATTAGAATAAATCCAAATTAATACAAAAAATACCTATTTCATGTATGTTAATGTATTTGTTTAACCGTTTCCACACCTCCCCTAATGGCACCCAGTGCTGTTTTGTAGTTATTGTCCAACACCTGGTTTGACTCAATAAGTACTTCATTAAATTAAGTCAGGTGTGCTGCAGATGGAATTCATTAAATCTGTGCAATGGCTGAGGGCATTGCACCAAAGCCCTGTTCTGCTAACCAGCTCAAAAGGTCAAACTACTTTTTACAGGATTAAAGGGCCTTTGTCTTGGAAAAAAAATTGTAACTCACTTTTTCAAGCAAAGAAGTTTTATGTAGTACAAGTTTCAAAACGTATTGGTTACTCCTCAGTTCATGCAGTGTAATACTGTATATGGAAACTAAACTGCAAAACAAGCCATTTTGATTCACTGCTTCTATGACGTCACGGAAAACAGCCTATTTACATATGTCCACCTATTCAGCCTAAAGCAGTTTAGATCTGATTCACACTGAAGTTATAAGGAGTGTTTCAATCCAGACTGTTTTTGAGTGAAGTACCAACCAGCCAGTCACAACAGAGGTCATTTACATATAGCACTCCTAAAGACACAGTGACTAAAATGGCCTGTTTAATTCTAAGGGATAGAGCATGATGAAAAGCACTGTAAAAATGAATTACGACTGTTTTTAGTACGCAAAGCCACACAAACATTACAAATGTACCTCAAGGGAAAAAGGTAACATACATGAAAAATGTGGGCCCTTTAATGTATGTTTGTATTCATTCGATTGTTATAAGGTTGTTTTTGCAAGCAGAAACACACATATTTTCCAGATAAATTACTTTAAACAATCTGCTTAGGCACCAAAGGCTTTTTCACAGTACTGTATGTGTAAAAGCATAATGTTTAGGCAATGCTGGGTTACCATGCTAAAAGTTACTGAACTACATTTGAAACTAAAAAAATGTTAAAGGTGTTGTGTTTCTTCACAAGGCTAATTAAGTAAGATGTCGTTTCAATTTCTATTTTTTTCTAAATATTTATGCAGGGGCTTCACTTGATGTTTATGAATGGGGGCTAAGCCTGTCTGGGGGCATGCTCCTCCAGGAGAATTTTTTAATGGTTTGATCTCTAGATCCATCAACTTATAAGGTCAAGCAATATCTCCTTTCTCTTAGATAAGACACAAGGTCCTAAATATATTATTTAAATACATAGATCATAGATCAGTTCCGTCTCAGTTGGTGCCATCAGAAAGAGTGTGATTTTGCTCTGCAGACATGTTAAATAAGTGACAGAATTTCATGGCCATAGTGACAGATACATTTTCTCAGTTAAGTTCAATTCAATTCAGTATTAATTTTAACTGAAAGCTTATACAACTCTCCCTCGCTTTCTTCTGGATCACTAACCTTCACCAGATCTGCTCTTTCAGTCCTGTCAGTCTCCATCAGCTTCTTTCTCTCTTCCTGTGTTTAGTAATACATATTTTTTATTAAACTCAGATTAACAAGACTTTTGCTTTAACAGGTAAAAATCTTATTTTAACTGGTAAAAATAATCATCACTAGCCTTTAACAGAGCTGCCACCTCTTAATATATAATATATTCCTCAAACATATTGAGGAATTGAGGGATTTAAAATTGCATTAATATCAACACTGAGTGACCCTTTCACTGCCATTACCTTACTGTAAACAACACTGTATAATAAATACTGGTGTCATGGTTTCCAAATACTGACGAGAAATATAAAATTAAAGAACATAGAGAGCCGTCCATACTGTTATTTCTGTCTCTGTCGCTCATTTATACTCTCACTATGAAGTGAAGTTTCTTTAAATTTTTTAAACTAGTTGGTTAGTCATCCAGCTAGGTTAGTTAGCTAACGTTAGAGTTAGCCTAACCCTCTTTCTTTGGCTGACATAAACCCAAAGTTAGCTAATTAACAAGCAACCGGGTAAAAACCTAGCAAAATCTAAACTGACCATAATTTGCCACAAACGCATAGGTGGGTATCTTCACTCTGTAACTACTTACTGTTTGACTCTGTGCATTATAAGTCTCATGTTTATGTTAGTGGGTTTTTAGCCAAAATCCTGTCTTCAGCTTCAGCGGTTGCCGACTTACTGTACTTCGCAGAGCGAGTAAAACAAAGACCCGCCCCCAGGTGTGATATGATTGGCTTACAGCTTTGAGAGGTCTGATATGATTGGCTGAGCCGGCGGTTAGTAAATATCTGGTAGCACAACGGAGAAAGCACCACATTAGAGCAGCAGCAGCACCTCTCTCAGGTTCCGCCCTGCTACCACAGTATATTGTGAAGTTAGAGATGATTTTGGCAGATGTGCACACGAAAAATATCAATTACTTTTTCTACATTTCCCATGCCGATGGACTTATATTCCCCCCAGACAAAGAAAGAAGAACGATACAGGCATTCCTATCACCACCATAAGGTAGGTTTTTGGTTCTACATTGTGAACTTACTATATATGTATATGTGTTCTTAATCATAGTATACAAACATACCATGAGTAATGCAGCAGAAATAAATATACGCTACAGGTCAAATCATTATTTAGGCAAAAACTACTACACATGAAGCTGAAACCAGCTGCTTTATCTTAGCAAAATGTTTGTAGGTATTTTATTTTTTACTTTATTGAAAAGCAGCAGTAACAAAATGCACAGGTCACAATGCTGCATTAGTCTAGGTAAAATAAATATTTCTTCATAGTTCATTCCTTATTCATAATTTTATCACTGCAAGTGAACAACTCTGTTTTCACTCTTTTTTCCACAGAACTAAAATGTAAGTAACACTCTCCTCATCAAGTTCCAGTTTAGCGTTCACATATCATTGCACTTCATATACTTTAGCTAATCAATAATACAATTAATATGTAATTGATGTAGTTATACCATGCACTATTGTTTTTTTTTCTGCCATGCAGTAGCATTCCCGTGAAAGTCGTGGATTACGAGGTTTATTTCAAGAAGCAGCAAGCGGATTCCAATTGTGGCTTTGCTGAAGAGTACGAGGTGTGGAAGACGCTATAAAATCTGTATGATTTTACATTTACAGAAAGATGAGGTCTACATTTAAATAAAACAAGGAAGAAATGAACATGAAAAGTATTTGGACAGTTGTTGTTAAAGTGTATTAAGAAACACAATGTCAAGCTAAAAGGCCTTTATTTTAAACAGATCTTTCAAAATTCTTTTTTAGGCTTTCTCTACACGAAGAGCCCACAATAAGTTCTGTCTTATGCTATAGGTCTTTTTCTCTGAAACAAATATCATTTTGTTAAACATTATATGAAGCTAAAGAACTTTACTAGTGGTTAAAGTGTCCAAATACTTTTTTGCCTCCTGTAACTGCTGATATTGGAAGTTATGCCTTTTCCTGCAAATAAATGAACTCATTTTCATTTGTAGGACCTGAAGGTAGTTGGAACTGCTCAGAACAAAAGTAGTGCCCTTGCTTTGGAAAACAAGGGGAAGAATCGCTACAACAATGTGCTACCTTGTAAGCATGCCTAGACACTTTGTCTCCACAATGGGCGTGATCATCATTACTGTTATTATTATTATTATTATTAGTAGTAGTAGTAGTAGTAGTAGTAGTTGTTGTTGTAGTAGTATTAGTACTAACAATAGTAACACAATCAAATAATAATAGTATAAATGAAAACATGCTGAAATTGAGTTTTTGCCATGGTTTCTTGTGTATCTGAAGATTCAAGGTATTTTTCATCATTTCTTTCATGTGATTTGTATTGCAACAGATCTCAGTTATATTCTTTATTTCACTTAGATGATTCCTCAAGAGTCAAATTATCAACACATGGCAGCCCCTTTGATGACTACATCAATGCAAACTACATTGCAGTGAGTTGATATCTACTTGCATGAAAATAAAAAAATGTAGTGGGTTTACCTACCACATATTTAAACCCATGTTTTCTTTCTAAGTAAGTTAATATTGCTCTCATGAGCACATAATATACACTCACCAAACACTTTATTAGGAACACCTCCTTGTTTCTCCTTTAATATCCAGCACTGCTTATCATATAGGCGCACTTTGTAGTTCTATAATTACAGACTATAGTCCATCTGTTTCTCTGCATACTTTGTTACCAACTTTTACTCTGTTCTTCAGTGGTCCGGACCCTCACAGAGCAGATACTATTTGCGTAGCGGATTACTTTTAGCACTGCAGTGACACTGACGTGGTCGTGGTGTGTTAGTGTGTGTTGCGCTGGTACGAGTCCTGTTGGACTACACTCAGTGTACCTCAGTGTCACTGCTGAACTGAGAAGAGTCCACCAACCATACCCAGCCAACAGCATCTTGTGGGCAGCATCACTTAAACTTTACATCTACAAGGTGGACCTACAAGGTAGGGGTGTCTAATAGAGTGGACAGCGGGAGGACACTACTGTGTCATACCAGCACAATATACACTACCACACCACCACCACGTCAGTGTCACTGCAGTGCTGAGAATGATCCACCACCCAAATAATACCTGCTCTGTGGTGGTCCTTTGTGGGTCCTGACCACTGAAGAACAGGGTCAAAGGGGGCTAACAAAGTATGCAGAGAAACAGATAAACTACAGTCTGTAATTGTAGATCTGTTTGGTAAGTGGCACTGATAAAATGAACAGACGGTGTTGATACAAGGAAATGTTCCTAATAAAGTGCTCAGTGAGTGTACATGTGTACAAATAAGCCATGTGAATGACGTTCCAGTGTCTAATAAATGTGCAATGTATTTCACCCAAAATGTTTCCTGTAAACTGGGCAGTCTTAATCTTGGGTAACACATGTGTGAGCAGTCCCCTCACAAATTATAAAGCTAATGTGGTTTGCCTGACCTCTGTAGCTATGTCAAAACAGTTTCCCCACAGTCTCATTTTCAGTCTGAGCAATTTAAAGAGTAAAAACTAACTAGCATGCATAACTGAGCTAGCACGCTAGCTAATCTGCCTGTCATCCATTCATTCATTCGTCCAGCCGGCCATACCATTATTTCCTGGATGTACAGCAGTAAAGTGAGTGAGAACCTTACCTTCTTTAAGACATCGCCATACAAAATGCTGCATCATGTTTTTAGTGAGCGCAGCAGAGCCTACAACACGGCCTGTCCTTGTAGAGCCAGTTTACTGATTGTTGGTTCTGCTTCAGTGGCGTAGCAGACTGGAGTGTTGGACTGAGGGATGTCTAATTAATATTCTAATTAGAATATTAGGACCATGCCCAAACAGTTCTCAAATAGAGTGCTTTTTAAGCAGTGTTTTTTATATTTCTCTCTTCTTTTTCATCCAAACTTTGCTGGATGTTTCATATAATACTCAATTTAAGTAACATATAAAAATTTGTAATATTTTATAGTGTTCTCTGAGATTTCAATAACAAGTAATACATTGAAAACAAATGTTTAAACTCTGCTTACCTCCAAAAGACCAGCAAACAGTGTGGACTGAATATTTGTACACATGAATGTTTGTCTGTTAGGGTTACAACTCGAAGAAGGAGTACATAGCAGCTCAGGGCCCACTGCCTGCTACTGTCAACGAGTTCTGGAGGATGATCTGGGAAAAGCATGTCCAAACCATAGTGATGCTGACCAAATGCAACGAGCAAGGACGTGTGAGTTTAGTGTTTCAATATAAAATGACTTTTTAGTACAGCAAAGTAAAGAATCTAATCTGCATTATTATTACACCTCAGTGGTCTGTATATCCAACAACTGATGAAGGCTTATATGTACACTTGTAATGTCTGCCGTTGATGTAGTGCGCTGTTATTTAAATGTTTGTATGAAGTTTGTTTGCATGCTCCTTTTAGCTGCTATTACGTATTAAGCAATACTATACACGCAAGTCGGTTCAGGTACTAAAAACTTCATATCTCTGGATACCAGGAATATTCACTAGGGATGTCCTTATTATTCCTCTCATTATCAAGCAGCAAGCTGCCTTGAAAAGAAGCAAGTACTCTCAAGTCCTAAAGAGGTCATTTGACTCTAACTTTTTCCTCTTTAGGTTAAATGTGAGAAATACTGGCCATCTGGAACCAAGACGTACAGTAATATTACAGTGACAAACATTTCAGAGATTGCCCTGGAGGACTGGACCATATCAGACTTCACCATCAGGAATGTAAGGCCATTGTCTTCTATAAGTTGTCTTTATTTTCTGTGCTATCTAATGTAGACAGTATTAAAAGACGGCTCTTCTCTTTTATAAAAGAGAATTATTTATGATAATGATTTGCACAAAATACCTACCATGACCACCACAGTCTCATGGTAAAATCCTTAATGCCTGAAATCTAGTCACATTTTGTGCTATTCACCCAGAAATTGTTGCTGTTATGTCAATTTTTTTCTGTTCTGATGGGGTTTGTCATACCATTTGAAAACATCAGTTGCCCTAAAAATAATTTTAATGACTTTAAATCTTGTGATCTTTACATATATTAAGCTTAAGAGCATTTTTGTGTTATTTCATAAATGTACTGTTTGAGAGGCTTGAGGTTTTGCTACAACAGCGATGAAATTAAAAAATATTGGGTCAGAAATAATTTTGAGTACTGTCTTAGGTGAAGACGGCGGAGTCTCGCGAAGTCCGTCACTTCCACTTCACGGCCTGGCCTGATCACGGGGTGCCAGAGACAACAGAGGTGCTCATTAACTTCAGACACCTGGTGAGAGAGCACATGGACCAGTATTCTCGCCATTCTCCATCTGTGGTGCACTGCAGGTGAGCTTAAAATAGAGTGACCAGATATTAATTACACAGTGCAATATGTGACAGGGGGCAGGAAGATCGTAGCATCACACAGATATAACTTCACATACTAGAATACAGATCACATATTTCACATAGGGGAGATGGCGTATACATCCATTCATTTTTGTAGACATGGTGACATACTGACTGCAACAGCAGGCTAATGCTGTGATGTCATGAGATATAGAGAGCACTTAACAGTGCCCAGCGGATGAGATGCAAGCATTGGTGAGATCTTTTCACAAAAATGTATTCTCCTTCTGAACGTCCTCGTTAAATATACATTAACTCCTTTTAGACATTGGGCTCTGGTTTCGTCATACATTCCTTCAAAATAACACAAATGTAGGAAATAGAATGTTAAATGCAGAAAATAAAGCATAATTATGCATTAAAGTGTGCAGAAGTGGGTTCTCCATGGAACATGTGTACTTATTTTTTCACTTAGATAATCAACAAAAGTAATTTGATCAGGGGTGCCTAAACCTTTGCATATGACTGTGTGCACATATAATATTTGCTCAGTATGCTTAGTGCATGTTCTGCAGAATGTTTCAGCAATGACAGAGCATTCTCGCTTAAAATATAGGACAGATAAATGGTTTTTGAGAAGACATCTAAACTGAAGCTGAAGTTGACCCATGCTTATAACCTTCCCATCCTGAATTTATAATATATGAAAAGAGATGGAAACATTTATATTGTTAATTCACCTGCAGTAATATCATATATGCATATATTTTATCTATAATAATTAGAAGTGTAATGTTTAAACCTTTTTTATTTCAGTGCTTGAACATGTTTTTAATTTACATGTGTGTGTAAAAATACTGTACATTTAAAAGTTTTTTTTTTTCTCTAAAAACAAATTTAAATTAGAAAGTGTACTTGAACGTGATGCACTCTTGTTATTTGCTCCCTGTAACATTGCAGATGAATTTGTGTTCAGTTGCAGGAGACAAAGAGTAAATTATGTTCTGCACAACCTTTACCTGATTGTTTCACAGACTGGTTGCCATACACTCTGAAAGATGTGAACCCACCCATTACGAACACTAATGTAATGAGCAAAGCTGAATGAACAGAGAAAACAACATTTACATATAATTTTCAGAACTTTGTGATTGTCCACAAAGTAGCTTATTTAAAGTCAAAACACAACCCTTAATGTTTGTGTATCTTTACAATCATTAGTCTCATCGTAATTCATTTTAAATGCTTCTGTCCCTCACTTCAATAGCGCTGGAGTGGGCAGGACCGGGACTTTTATTGCCCTTGATCACCTAATCTTCCAGATTGAGAGGGAAAGCATGGTGGACATTTTTGGAATCGTCTATGACATGCGCATGCACAGACCACTAATGGTGCAGACGGAGGTAAGAGAGAAAAGACAACAAATACACAGAATACAAAATAAACATGCATGCTTTTCCAGGGCTTTCACCTATATCTGTATAATAACGTACATTTTGGCAGCTTTTTTACATTTTGCTAATATCCATCCACAGGACCAATATGTCTTCCTGAACCAGTGTGCTGTAGACATCATCAAATCGAGGATGGGAACCAATGTGGACCTAATTTACCAAAATGCAGCAGCATTCAATGTCTATGGGAACGTGGACCAACGATGGCATTAGTTGAAGGTGGACTCGAGGTGACATTCACCTTAGGATCAAATCTTGAGGGAAATATAGGTTTTAGAAAAAGCTTGAAGAGCCATTTCATTACTTAGCTGAATGTCAAAGGTGTGACTGTTTCACTGACATAAAGAAATATATTCATATTTCATATAATAGAATGCTGTAAGGGCCTATCTTACATATTTCTATTTACAGCAGAAGATGTGCTTCTGATATGCTTTTCACATATGAGAGGCATCATCTCAGACTATAAAACAATGATGAGGAGCATTTCGAAACTGAAATTTTCTTAGACAATACTGTATATAAAATTCTGAATTAAGAATATATGAAGAGATGGAAACATTTATATAGTTAATTCACCTGCTGTAAAACCTGCATATATCTATAATAATTAGGAATGTAATAATTAGACCTTTTTTTATTTCAGAACTTGAACATGTTTTTAATTTACTTGTATGTGTAAAAATACTGTACATTTGAAAGTTTTATTTTTTATTATTTTTTCTTAAGAATTTAGCTTTTTGCTTTTTAAACACACTGGACATTATAGTAAGTATCTTAAATTAGAAAGTGTATGTTATGCATTCTTGTTGCTTTTGCTATTTGTTCCCTGTAACATTGCAGGTAAATCTGTGTTCTGTCGCAGGAGATTATGCAGTAAATTATGACTTCTTTGTTATTATAAATGTGAAGTGAGACAGAGAGCAGCAGTGGATTTATCATTTAAAGGGCAGATATAGACGTTATGGAAGTAAGGACCTGCAGATAATTTCATCTGACAGCATTTCAGAAGGGTGCTGTATGTTCTATGAATAAGACTCAGGACAGTCAAGCTTTTTTTTGCTAGCTTTCTGGTGAAAAAGGTATTACACTTTATCTCAAGTTGGAACATCCAGACATAATTACTTTGTTCACGTGCACACAAAGTCGGCTCAATGTGAAATGTGCCCTTCTAGGAATACCTACAGTCAGAATTATTCACAACAATGTTGATAATAACAAAACGTCCAAAGCATTTTAATGCCTCTAATAGCTACCTCAAAGAAAACTATTACATAAAATGGTTAAGCATATACTGCCTGATGTCTGAGGTATCTCTTTAAAATAGTTTTGAGATAAGCGTTTGGCCTAAAATCCATTCACGCCAAAAGAGTTACATGCAAAATGGTATCTAAAAAATTCCAGATTTACCTCTATTTTGTCATTATCAACATTACATATAAAACTACATAGATGACACTTGCAGCTTCACTGGTCATTTTGGATAATAAATAAATGTCTATATTTGAGTTGTATACATCACAACTTCAGTTCTAGTTCCAGCACCACTGTTTCATTAATACAACATTTCAAACCTGAATGACTTTTCAAACCATCAAATGTATCTGGAATCAGTCCCAGAACACCTGCTAAACCATTAGATCCTTTATACTGTAATATTAACCCATCAGATACACAAAATACTGTTACTGACTACTGTACACCACCAGAAACCAGTAGACACTTTTTAGGGTTTCCATTATTTTTACATCTAAACAACTGAATTATTGAGATATTGGGAATAAAGGTGGAATTCCTCTTTAAGTGTATCTTCTGATAGACACTGAATTATATGAAGCACAATCTGAGTCAGTTTTCCATAATTGTCACAGCACGAAGATTATGAAATGGTAAGTACACTTCCGATGCTTTGGGGAACTCTGTCATTAGTATATCTGTGTAGGTTCATGACACATACTGTAGATTTGTATAGTTTTTTTTTTAACTATGATTTAAATGTACGTTTTGTTCTGTCACAGATGAGTTTATCTTGCATATGGGCACAGAAACAAAATGCCACCTAGAATGTCTTCTGTACAGACCTCACATGCATTTTAGCTTTACAATCACTGGGTGGCGCCATTCACTCTTGGTCAGTTGATTGAGCTGAACTGTAAATGATGCATTTTGCTGTAGCATTTCAAGAGGTTGAGCCTCAAACTGTAGTGATGTACAAAGTAGAGTAAATCAGGATCTAAGAGCATATAATAGTTTGTTCTTTCTCTGTTAAAGAGATCAAATATCCAGTTAAACAGGAATTGTAATAAAAGGTACTGGAAGTAAATAAGGCACTAAATATTTATATTTTATAAGATATGCTTATGCAATTTTTATGCCAATGCATATTTCTTTCCTAAAGCACTGCTAACAGGCGCACATTGGCTGCCTATCATGTTAATGCTGTCTGTACTATCATGTGATTTGGACAGGCTTGTGCAATATTTTGTTATTAAATTAACATATAAACCATTAAATGAAGCTTTGTTAAGACAAATGTTTATGCCGGTTATATATGTTGAACTTTAACTGTTCATTTATTGTTTTCTACTGGATTTTAAATCCCAATAGGCTGTTTTATTGAACTGTTGAAATTCGAATGGCTTCATTCCAAAATGCTGTATATTCATTTGTAACAATTTTAATGTATAGGGACTTTTTGAAACAAATAACAACTGATGTTAATAGAAAATACGTTTTAATTTCTTTAATAAAGATGATATTAATCATAATATAACATTGATATTTCTTGTATGTGTAAAGCCAAATAACGATAATGTATATCATGAAAAAAATGTAAAAATGGTCTTTAATTAATATGTTTTGCAACGAAACCCTTCATATACTTTCCCCCACAGCAATATGAAGAGGGTGGAAACATTGTTTTTAGTAATTTTAGAGGACAATCTGCATTACAATTTGGAGCAATATGATTTTTTATTCACATAGCACATAACACTTTGCATAATGATTATTTTTGTTTTATTAATATTACTATTATTTTTATTTGTCTGAACCTACCTTACATTATCTTGAAAATAATTGTAATGGTAATAAATGTGTGAGATCTGCAGGAATAGGAAACAGTAAACAAAGCTCTTTTTAAAGGCTGATTGTGATATCTGTAATGAAAACTGGCAATAAATTTGAGTGTATTTTGCAATACCAATCAGATAATGTGAAGGATTATTTTTGCCAATGATTTTTAGTACGGTCTGAAGGCTCTCTTTCAAGTCAAAAATGTAAGAGCATGAGTGCAAGTACTGTTTACTCTTATGTTGGGTAGTTTGAGTTGGTTTAAAGGTGTTAGAGACAAAATAAGAAGTATGTCTATAGGGAACTAGGTCACTTGATTGCCATGTGTCTTGCAAAGATAAGTGGGAGTTGTGAAAAGATTAAGCAATAGGATGTCAGTGTCACTGGGGTAGCCCCTTTCTGCAGGCCCCTTAGAGGCCTGAATGGAAATCGACTTCATGTGATCAAATAAAAATATATTTTCCCATAACTCTGTAATTGGATTAACTAGGACACTATTGGCTATGTCTGTGTTGAGCTGCTAGTGAGCAGTGAGAACGGCTGTGAAAACAATGTTAGACAGTCATATACAATGGACACAATGAAAAAAAACACTTACATAAATATTGACTTGTGTTCACCTATGAAAACGTAGATCCAGATCACTTCAGCTTTGTAAATAATGCACATTTCCATCTAAATATATTCCATATTCTATCCATCCATATTGAAGCAGAAAAAATCAGACGGGACTTCCAAAACAGGCAGAAATGGCATTTTATGACTACTGTGCAAAACAGTTTGAACCTTTTTGTTATTAGTGCATCAAAAAGTGCTTATAGATGAAGGCATTTTGTTGTTGTTAGATCACTGCTCCTCTCTAAACTGAAGCAGTCCATGCAGTAGTGCTACTTGCTAAACTGGCATTTGGTTAAAGGGGAACTCCACAGATGTTTCATAATTTCTGCATAATTAAATGATTACAGTGAAAACACTGCCATTCAGGCTGTTTTGATGCGAAATGCTCCATTCTAAAGAAAACTGCCGAGTCAGAATTGTTCACAGTGGAAGTGATAGGAACCAGACGTCTAAAGAGTTTAATACCTCTCAAAGCTCCCTCACAGAAAGTTATTACATGGAATGGTTAGATAAATGTTACCTCATGTCTGACACATTGGTATATGGTAATTTTGTGATAAAGATTTGGCTTAAAACGTATTTGAATCCATTCATGGCGGAGGGGTAAAAGCAGGGCGTTGTAAGGCAAAATAGTCCCCAGAGAAAACTTATTTTAGATTTATGACTTATACCATCATCAACTTTACATATAAAAACACGGAAGACTCGTGTAGGTTCACTGGTGGATTTGAATAGTAAATAAAATGGCTATATTTGCGTTGTAGACAGCATGACTACTGGTTCCTATCACCACCACTGTAAAGAAAATCAGAGTCTGTAAGTTACTCTACAGCAAACCGTTTTACATCAAACCACTCTGAATGTCTGTTTGCATCTCAAGGACGAAATTATTGAGCATTTTTTTAAAAATGGATGGAATGCCCCTTTAAGGCAGGCAGCTGTGTGAAAGAACATATACCGAGGCCTGTTTTTGAAAAAAAGTTTCATGTATATTTTTAGACTTAAAAGCTCGGTGAAGTGAAAAGTGCGTCTTTGTGGAGATTAAACGAGCTGGTGGTTTACGTTAAGGAGAAAATCTGACGGTTCTGAACTGAAACGCAGAAGAAAAGCCTCGGCTCCCGGGGCGAATCCGTTCCTTACTCCTGTCCGTGTTTGTCCTCTCCCCCGCGCTCCCAGCTCCACTGGCATTTCCTGCCACCGCTCAACTCAACAGCTGGATGCGGAGAGGCAGCTGGATGCGTTAGAGCACCGCTACAGCCTGTTTCACACCGCGCCTACAACCCTGCTTCTCTCCTGTAGCTCCAGAAAAGCGTGTGCTCGGCTTGGCTGTTCTCGCTTTCCTAGCGCTGCTCTTGAACGCTCTGGTCTAAAATTCCGCTGGTCCGGTCGGTCAGGGACGAGGGGACGGACGAGCGCGGCTGGCTAACGTTAACGTACTTTTCGGGGATTCGTGTTTTTAACACTACGGCGGTTACTGAGGAGAACTGGCTAACGAAACAGCTAACGTTTATTCAGATTACTTTTTTTCGCGCTTCACTGTAAGAGGAACTACACGTTTCGCCGACGTTTTTAACCCTCTTTGGACCGAAGGACTTGTACACACAGTATAAAAGCTACACTGGGAACGTTAACCTACCGTTACCCCCCAAAACCAGCGAGCTAACGTTAGTTATAGGTTAAGTGGCTAGTCGACTGACATATCTGTCCTCTCAGAAGGAAACAGACATCGGAAAGGAGTAAAGAGGAGTGAAGTCCTGTTTCTTCCTCCTCTATCTCTTTCTATCTCTCCCTCTCTTAACGCTGCAACGGCGTGGTGGTGAACTGGGATGGAGCCGTTTGGATACGGCTATAGTTAGCTAGCCTGCTAGCCTCGTTTCTGTTTGCAAGGGGCGAAGTTGCAACATCAACATCGACGACAGAGAAAAAAAGGTAAGCTTCTGGAAACACCGACTGCTCCCCAGAATTACTAGCTAGCCCCGTAGTTAGTACATTGTCATGTTAACACGGAGGTTCGTGTCCATTCTGGATTGACGTTTTCGGCAACAGTTGTGCCATTTTCATTTCATTTCACTGAACATTTTAGTGCTCCCGTTAACCATGCTCTGTCGGACTGATCGTACGAGCTCATGCATATATTAGACAAATCCATATAATGTAATTCAGCCTCTCTTACATTTAGGTCAGACCGAAAGGTTGGAAAATAAACCGAGCGATTGTTCCCCCTCAGCTATTCCTCACAGCTGTTACAGTGTGAGAAATAGCTGAAGAGCATTAGGTCATTATTTGGCTGCTCGCTGTTACATGCCAGCAGCCACGTTGCTGATGGACTCGATCTGCATCTCAGCAGATGAAGAGCTTGACGAGGAACGGATTGCGCCCGTGGTTACATCTGTATTTTGCACACAGCTTTGTAAGTCCTCAGTCTGTAGTTCCTTTTACGGGTCACACTGTATTGTTTATGAGTGCGTGTTTATTCCACATTGTTCCCTCAGCTCGTTTTTTCTCAGTGCTGTAAATCCTTGATCGCAGTCCTGTTGACAGTCGAAGCTGCTAATCTGTTGGAATGTGACAACATTTTTTATCAAGTGTCTCGTGTATGTATACTTGAATTTGTAGCTGTGGTCCGTGTTGTAGGTCAGCTGTATAGTTATGTGTGAGGTCTCTGCCTTGTTGGTTTTGAAGCCTGCCATGCCCTGATGACCTCAGCCAAAGTCATCCGATTGCTTGTGATATAAAAGAAGCCAATAAATGGACAGAGTTTGCTCTGGGAGGTGCCGCAGCCTGTGGAAATTGTGATCATAAAGAATAATGAGCTTTGTGAGCAACAATGACCCATAGAGTTAGATATGATATGCCTGGTGACATTTTGGAAACCGTAACTGAAAACAAATTTCCCGCTTCTTTTTCTTTATTATTTCACATTGCACTAATTTTGCATTTCCTGTGCATCTGAGCTTAGCAGATGGATGGAGTCCACTGGGGACTGGCTGGTCAATTGCAAAGTATTTCCTGGATATGAAGCTTTGCGATGTTAACAGGGTCTTCCTCTCTGCTCAGGACTTGGGCTTCAATCATAAACGTACAATGAGGGTGAAGATAACTTCTGCTGAGGTCTGCATAGTTGTAGGATTTTAAAAAGCTGTAAAATTGGATCCCAAATTTCTGCAGGAATGGAGAAGTTTAATGGAGTTGGAAAAGGGCTTGATAGCCCCAAAACACTAGCCTTTCTGGTAACTTTAATACTTTCAAGGGTTTTTCAGGTCTCCCTCAAAAAATGGATTTTAACCTCAAGGGACTTCCTGGTTAAATAAAGGTAAATAAAAAATATGCCCACCCATACACCATGATTTGGTAAAAGAATGCATATTTTCAGACATCAAGGAAGGGAAATAACTTTTGCCTAACTTTTGCCTGCATGCTTTCAGGCTTTGCATCATTGTTTAGTATCCTGACATTACATGATGCAGCCTTTGCAATACCAGAGATTCTAGATCTCCTGATATTTGTACTTATTTAATTTAATAACGTTGCCTTAGTTTGTTCTCCTTGGAAAATCTGAAAAGTCATTTACTGGTCTGGGATGAGAAGGTAGACTCTATTGCATATACTGTAGTCTGCATAAGCACAACTAGCTTTTATTTGTAGATGGTATGTGTTGAAAATAGTGTGTCAGTCATTTAATCAGCTGCAAGTTGACAATTTGTTAGCAAGTTAGCAGGGCAGGAACAGCTGCACTGTTATTGTGTGCATTGGAATGAGGAGCAGGTACAAGACAACTGGGCTCAGCTGTTCAAGTCTTCATTCTATATCAAGGTATAGAGCTCAACCAGTGTTTGGAAAGGTTTTCTAGGCTATTTTTAGGCTGATGACTAGAGACAGAAGGGGAGGGCTGCTGGACTCTATTACTGTCTGACAGCTGACAGGAGCGTTCTCCACCTCCCTGAGTGCTGTTCACTGCAGATAGAGCTTCAGTCACATGATTTCTTTGCTCATCTCATTAAACAAATCCAGACTAGTATACTGTGTTAGTATACTTTTTCCATGGTGTAATCCTTGCTCACCATGCCAGTCTCCCTTTTCCAAAGTTTAACCCCAATGCTATGAATCCTCACTCTTGTAGAGAGTCTGCAAAACAGGAAATGACCCAGCAGCACTGTGACATTGTGCTAGAGATTAGGATGCCACAATTAATCGCATCTTCATTTGTAGATTGAATTTCACGCAATTAGTCAGTCATGAAAGGCTGCAATAAATGTGAGTAGTTTGTTGACTGCATCATAGCCGACAGCATTTTTGGCAGATCTCTAGAGTGATTTGAAATTGTAGGCCCATATGTTGTTTTATGTACCAGAAATGGTTGTCATTCTTTTTACATGAGGCTTTTCAAATTTCTCTTTATCCCAGGCCTCTGAGCTCTGTTCTGATTGGATGGCCTATTTTGTGTCTTATTCAAAAAGCAGTCCAAACTGAAACATTCCTTATAAAATTTGAATAGGTGGGGCTTAATTGCTGTAGGCTAAATAGGCACTTCAGTGTACATCTATGCACTGGCTTTCGTGACATTGAGTTCAAAAAGGGTCTTGTTTTTCAGCCTAATTCCCATATATGGACTGTATGGACAGATATGAAATTTGAACAGTGTTT